AAAGGGTTGTTAGGGAGAAGGAAGTCATAATTACTCTCCATGATTGTATACCATGTTTCATCAGCTCCCTAGTATACCCAAAAAGACAACTGAACTCAGAATAAACACAACAACCAATATTGAATCCAGAGATCAGATGCAAAGAAAATTGTCTTTTATGGGGGCCTAACACAAAAGGTGGAGAAGGAACCACTCCAGTATCTTTGCCAAGAAAACTCCAAATGGAGTCATGAAGAGTCAGGCACACCTAACCCACTAAACAACAACAAAAGGCAGGAAAAAGGGGGTGTAATCAGAGAACCAAAGGCTCCCCACCCTCTATGTTCCTCAGGGAACTCCCTGGGTGTTTGGTCACTTGAATTTAGTCTTTTTAAATACTAAGCATTTTCCAAAAGTGTGAGATGTGCACCTTTTAAGATTCAAGCTCCTTGTATAACTTCAAAAAAGACCTAAGTAACCTGTACCTGCAGAAGTATTTTGCTGCCCTCTACTGCCTTCTACCATTATTTTACAAACGTCATTAAAGCTTAAACACAGAATCAGCCTTAGAACTCACTTTATAGATGAGGAAACTGAAGCACCAACAACATGAAATGGCTTGAACATTTTTTAAAAAATGTTTCTCTTAAGTTCACTTCATCCCTTTTATCTGTCATCATGTCACCCTGGCATTTCTCAATAACCTTATTAAGCCTTTCCTTCATTGGTAACTCTCTCTTGCTGCCTGGCCTCATTGACTCCTCTTGCAAGCTTCCTCTCTCCCCGAACCCTAAAGGTCCATCCAGCCAAGGAGAGGGGCAGACAGAATACACAAGGTATGCTTCCATTCTATGTTTGAAACTCTTCCTAGGGAAACTAAATTCTGTCTTATGCAACTGAACGATTGGAAATAAACTGAAGGAGAGACAAGAGAGTTCTGAAAGTCAGTCATCAGATTTTCTTTAAATTGGTTTAGAGATGAAAAGAAACTGAGGCTTAGTGACATTAAGTGACTTGTCTAAGTCCATACTCGTGGTACTAAGTAGCAGAGCTGAGTATCAAACCCAGGTCCTAAGACTCTAAGTTCATAGCTCTGTCCAAAATACACCTTCTCACTGTGCTGAGCTGCTGCCTTCTGATCTGTGCAAGTCAAAGCAGATCCCCTGAGGAGGATCTGCTGGGAGACCTCCCTTGGATTCAGAGGCACAGGCTGTGGGGACCCCACAACCTTTGGCACTAGTACTTTAAGCATAATCCTCAGAAGAAGCCTGGGATGCAAAGAAGTCACCTAAATATGGGCACTGTTTTCTGATTTCATCAGAATCCCATTATCTTCAGTTAAGCCTCACAAACCTCCTCTAGCCTGTCGTCCATGTTCTACCACAAGCTTTTTTGACAGCATGGACAACAAAGGCTCTACCAGCCCTTGGATGTAAGCCCTAGGATATTAATAACCCCCTCAGAGTCAATCTATTATTATGGGTGTCAAATCACTTCAAAACTAAGTGCAGAGAACTATCCAAAATGCTTTGTTATACTAATGCTATTGCATCGAACGCTCCTGGAAGTCTCAGTCACTGCTGAGGGCTTTGGACATCCCTTTATTACAAAGGAAGTTTTCTCAGTGACCGACAGAATTTAACTTGAGGCAGCGCCTGTATAATAAAGAGCTGCTTGTACTTGATGTTTTTTTTTCTCAATTTCAATCAGAAAGGAAACGTGAAAAAGTCGCAATTATTGGAAGATATCGATGACGCTGCAGATAATAGGAGTGAAGGCCCTATGCCTCATATACGCTTCTCCAATTCATCCTTCATACAGCTGCCAAATTAATATTGCTACCACACAGATACAAGCATATTACATATATAAGTATACATAAGTACTCCCATACTTCTTCAGTGACTCCTTAGCCGCCTTTGACTGTGTGTATCTTAGATGTCTCAAGTTACATTTTAGGAGCTCATCTGGAAGGTGATGGGATTTATTTCTATAATCCTCACTTCTGGCTCACTCCCTGGTCTGCTCTACCTCCACACAGGTTCACCTGCACCCCTAAAGTCAAACTTATAAGAACACAAGCCATTCCCCAATTGATAAATGGTCAAAGAATATGAACAGACAGTTCTCAGATGAAGAAATTAAAGCCATCTATAGACATATGAAAAAATGCTCTAAATCATTATTGATTAGAGAAATGCAAATCAAAACAATTCTGAGGTACCACACCACACCCATCAGATTGGCCAACGTGACAAAACAGGAAAACGATAAATGTTGGAGAAGAGGTGGGAAAATTGGAACGCTAATGCATTGTTGGTGGAGTTGTGAAATGATTCAACAATTTTGGAGAACAATTTGGAACTATGCCCAAAGGGCTATAAAAATGGGCATACCCTTTGACCCAGCGATCATACGAATGGGAAAAGGACCCACATGTACAAAAATATACATAGCAGCTCTATTTGTGGTGGCAAAGAATTGGAAATTGAGAGGATGCCCATCAATTGGGGAATGGCTGAGCAAGATGTGGTATTTGAATGTAATGGAATACTATTGTGCTATAAGAAACGATGAGGAAGTGGAATTCAGAAAAACCTAGAGAGACTTGTATGGTCTGAGTGAAATGAGCAGAACCAAGAGAACGTTGTATACAATAACAGCCACATTGTGCAATGACTAATACAGATAAACTTAACCCTTCCCAGCAAAAGAAGGATCTAAGACATCTCCAGAGGCCTCATGATGGAAAATGCTATCCACATCCAAAGAAAGAACTATGAAAGTTGAATTGCTATGTTTTTCCTCTTCTGTTGAGTTTTGTTTCCTCTTTCTGATGGTTCCCTCCTATTGGTTTTAATTTTTATTTACAACATCACTAATGTGAAAATATGTTTAATAGGAATGTAAATGTATAGCCTATATCAGATTGTGCACCATCTTGGGGAGGGTGGTGGGGAGGAAAACTTTAAACTCAAAAGCATATGGAAGTGATTATTGATAAATTAAAATAAATTAATAAAATTAGAGTGTGGTTTTTACAATCAAAAAAAAAAAAGATGACTCCACTCTGAGGCTGATCAATGATGACTGAATGCTTGTCTGGAACTGCCATACTTTGAGAAGCTCCCAGACATTTCTGGCTTCACTTTCTAATCTGCTTCATCTGCCTTCATCTGGCTGCCTTGCTAACCCTAACCCTAACCCTACCCCCACACTGCAGCTCTTTGTATCTCCATTAGATACTTATGAGTAAGGACCATGCTATTTTCTTGTTTTTGTACTGCCAGTATCCACTGGCAAAGGGGCCGGCACTTAATAATTAATATTTAATATAATTAAATTAATAAGCCCTTAATGCTTCATCTATAAAACCATACTGATTGTGTCCACTATAAATTTGTTATCTAATGCCAATTGGGTCATCTGATACAAGCTTCTTTTCTCTCCTCTTCATATCCTCTGACATCAGTTCTCACTGGCTCCTCCAGTGAAGGCCTGTCTCTTTACCAAAGCCAACTTTTCTACATATACGTTCGATTTCATCCCCTCCCTTCTCTAGAAGCCTCCTCTATTATCCTTACATTCTAGCTTTCACTCTTTTGCCCTTTGCTGATTTCTGCTGTGCTCCCTACATGTTCTATCATCCTCACGAGTTACTGCCCTGTATGTCTCCTCATCTTTTCCACTAAAATCCTTAGAAGGGGTACATTTGGTGCCACAACTATTGTTTCTATGCAATTTAGCTTCTGGTCTCATCATTAGACAAACTTCCTTCTGCAGTTACCAAATGATCTTTTAATGACATTATATTTCTTGGCTTTTCCTCAATCCTCACCCATCTGCAGCACTGCACAGCTGGTCACTCTTTCTTGAGTGTCTCTATAGATTTTCATAACACTACTCTTGGTTTTCTTACCGTCTGACCATTTCTCAGTCTCCTTTGCTGGATCATCATTGTCATGATCACTTTTTTTCTCTTAACATTCTCTCAATTCATTATCTCATCAAGCCCATTTCAGATCTCTGTATCCAACCCTATTCTCTCCCAAAGTCCAGTCCAGCATTACTAGCTTTCACATTTTAACTGGATGGCCCATGGGCATCTCAAACTCATCTAAAATAGGGTGCGCATTGTTTCCCTACCAAACTCACCACTCTCCCAGAGTTCCCCATTGCTCTTGAGGCCATTACCATCCTAATAGTCACCCAGGTTAGTAACCTCAGTGTCATCCTTGACTCTTGTTTCTCATCCTACGTATTCAGTCACTTGCTAAATCTTGCTCTTTCTCTATGGCACATTTCTTACATGCATCCCTGTTTGTTCACTCAGATTACACCTCCCTAATCCAGGCCCTCATCACGACTTCACAGACAATTGCAATGGCCCCTTCAAGACTCCCAATGCATCCTCCATACATAGTGGCTGCCAAAGTAATTATCCTTATCTCTCTACTTAATAAGCTACAGTAGCTTTCCATTGTCTTTGCAATTAAATATTAATTTGTTTGGCATTTAAAGGTCTTTATAACCTGCCTTATTCCTATCATTCTTACCTTATTAATTACATTATTAATTCTTATGCATTATACCCCTTCACAAACTATGTGACCATACTGGTCTACTTGTGATCTCTCACACACCATACTCCATCTTTGATCTCCACAGAGCTTAAAAAAAAGGAATTCATTTCAAACTTAAATAGAAATGAGAAAAGAAAAAAAAACATAACAGAGCATGAAGATTCAATATTAAACATAAATTTACATTTCAAACTGTTTATTTTTTTGGTAAACCTATGTAATAACTCCTACTATGTAATAAAAGCTACTCAGCTTCCTGGCTATATTCACTTAATTTATATACTTATAAGAACCTTTTAATTTAATGGAATAAAAATGACCCATTTTACACTTCACAATTTTCTCGTGCATCATATTCTTCTCTCGCCTTCCCAGAAAAATCAAACAAAACTACTACAGAAAAATGTTTATTTTGCAGATTTTTTTATTTTGCAGTTTGCAGAAGTCTAAAATCCCAGGATAGGATAGTTGTTAGTTGGGAGATAAGATATCAACACAGAAAGGTCTAATTCACAATTGTGCATGATCAGTTCAGGAGGGAAGTAACAGAATAATAGAAGGTGAAATGCTGCCAATTTGTGGAGTGCCTGTAAAGTAAGTAGTAATTATCCTCATTTTACAAATGAAGAAACAGAGGCTCAGAAAGGTGACGTGCTGTTTGGGATTTAAATCCAGGCATTTCTGACTCCAAGTCCACTATGTTCTACTTCTCAAAGCCATTGGAATAAATGAAACAGCCAAGAGAGAAGAGATGTGGCCTAAGGCTGATGCATGGGGAACACCTACATTAACGGTGAGGGAAGAAGAGCCATCAGTATAAATGTCAAAAGCTGATGACGTCAAGGAGGCTGGGAAAAAAATACTACTGGATTTGACAATAGGTGCTCACTAGTGACACCAGAGACAGCAGAAACTGTAAGGGAGGGTTGAGAAGAATGAAATTGCTGTGAGAAAAAAGGAAGGGAGCAGGGGACTATTCAGCTGAAGTTTCAGAACGTTCCTTCTTCCATTCATCTGTACCACGATGAAATTGAAATTCACCTTTTGTAGGATCATTTGTAAGATTGAAAGTTACTTTCTGTAAGGGAAAAAAAAATTTACAAAAGTTAATAGCTGTCAAAAGCCCACTGAAACCCCTTCTCACTAATTTGTTTCAAGAGTAATTCAAAATGATAAAGGAATTTATATTTGGTCTTAGAGACAACAGAAAGTCACTGGAGGCGATATGGTCAGACCTACATTTTAGGAAGAGCAAATTTTCAGCCAAGTGGAGGGACACTTGAAGGAGATCGATCAACCAGCAAGCTATTGCTATGGGTTAGAGAGGAGGTGATGAGGGCCTGAGGGTGTCTGTAGTGCAGCAGACAAACTGAATGGTCTTTTTTTCAGGCCAAATCCTTCACAACCTACCAGCTGAATTGTTGACTGAACCCCCCGCCCCCACCATACTTTCTCCTAATTTGTCTCCTACCTGTGTGACTACTACTCAGCATCTTTGGCTGGCTCACCATCCATATTATGATTATTCCCCAAAGTTCTCTTCTGGGGCCTTTTCTACTGTATTCTCTCTCATGGTAACTACGTGAGTTTTAGCTTCTCAGTGGTGCACACGCATGCGCGCACACAAGCACACACATGCTTTAAGGGGTGCCATGAACTTTTGAGTTGGCCATATTTTGTGGAAACACTGGACCCAGAGCATGCAGGAGGCCCTGAATATGTCAAGGACAAAGCCCTCCCCCTGAGCTGACATAATGGATTGTTTGCATCCCAAAGTAGACTGCCTGTGAGTCCTTAAAAGTCAAGACACAACACAGTCTGCCCTAGGCTAAGAAACTGCTTGTGCAGCTGGTACCCTTCTAGATAAGCAGTCCATCTTATCTTCATTGTCTGGCAGCTACAAAAGAATATGGCTTTTGCCATCCCCTTATTCCTCCCTTTCAGGAGGGGTTTTGTCCTTTTCCCACCTTTACTGCACCTTTCCATGTCCCTTTAGATGAGTTCTATGTTTCTTCCTCCTACTGTATTATCTATCCTACTGTAACAAATATGCAAACTTCTTTATGGATTGTGAACTCTTTAGGTTCCACATGCATGTTCATTTCTCTTGCAAAAACCTAGTTTTCACCTAAGTTTCATGAAGTTATTGCCTGTTGACAACATACACAAATAAACACACACACATATACATATATATATATATATATATATATATATATATATATATATGTATGTATGTATACATATACACACACATTTATTTTAAAGAAAATCATGTAGGAATATGACCCTAAAAGAAAGGTTGCAAGTTAAGTGTAAAAGTGAGGTAAAATTGAAGTTTTTTGTAATACCTTTGTAGTCTTAAGATGTTTCTTATTTTCTCCTACAGTAAGAGGACCTGGATCATGCAGTGGTAGAAGGGTAGTCTTTACAGTTTGAAATTTCTTTAGCATTTCTTCATTCTTGTTCTTCATCTGTCTCAGTTCAAGTTCCCAATCGTTATATACAGCAACACTTCTCTTAGCAAACTCAGATGATTCCTTCACAAGAAACTATCCAACCCAATTCAACAAACTTTTATTAAGTGCACTTTGTTAAGTACATATTATTAAAAGATATTTTTTAAAACTTATTAAAAGATACTTCTTGAAATGAGGGGGACACACACATGGCCCCCTCATACACACACCAAAACATCATAATTTCTGCCCTAAGAAGCTTATCATTAAAGGGGTCAGATGTATACAACAAAACAAAATAAAACAGAATTGCAATAATAGATAAATTTAGTATGAAAGATTACTTAATCTGGTGTGTGAAAGGGTTAAAGACAAGTGGACTGTCATTAAGACGACAACACAAAATCTGAGTCCTGAAGGAAAAGACATGTCAGCAAGGAGAGATAGGTGGATAGAGGGCTGGGGAACAATGTGAACGAAGAAGGGGCTAAGGAAGAGATCGAGGAATGGTAAAAGCCTTGAAAACCAGGCTGATGAATTTGTATTTTACTCAGTAGGATGATTAGAGAGGTAATGACAGAGACAGGATCAGAAGCAGTAAGAAGGAATGAGACTTGTCCTCAATATTTTGCAAACACATGGAATTTGTTCCCTGCTTTTAAAGACCACTAACTATGATTGTAATTGTTATGCAAAAAGTGACTAACTTCATTATATTAAATAGAAAGTAAATTTTTCATTGGGTATATAATAGAAAGAGGGGGAGGGGGAGGGGAGGGAAATCACTCACCGTTATTTTATTTAAAAACAGGTTTTGCTTCTGAAATATCCTCTCATTCTCCTTCTGTATTATGCTAAGGCTTCTCTCATCAACTTGTGCCCACTTGACCAGAGAGAAGAGAATGATTTTCTTAGCATTTAACAGTCCTTGGAATTCATCTATCAAATCATTGATAAAATTTTGAGTCTCTAAAACATCCTTAAGAATTTGCTGTGGAGAAAAGCATTAATTTTCTGAGTTCCAAGGAGACTGTATGTAAATACCCCATCAAATCTCATCACTGTTCTAAACGATAAAAATGAAGGCCAGAATCAAACTCAAATCCCTCAGATATCTTAATAGTCTAAAGTAAATTAAAAATGTAAATCTAATGGTGAAAAGTTAATCTAGTTATTCATACTGGATTACATACTGTAACTATGGCAGGGCACATTATAACGAACCAGTGAAGTAAGGAGGCAGACTGGCAAGAGGGTTGAATCCTCATTCCTACGGATTGTGAGAGTGACTTACTTGTAAAATGAAAGGGATGGGCTAGAGCAGGAGGGGGGAACCACATGAGTTTTACAGAACAAATCTTCAAATATAAGATCAGAGGGTTGAGTCCCTTCCATTTAGATTCTATGATCTTATGGTTACCATTTGTGACATTCTATACATCTCAAAGGCTTTAATATTTCTATAAGGAAATGTTTTTTTAAAAAATACTAAAAATTTTCCATTTTTATGCCAACTCAGACTGGATTACCTTGAACTAAACTATCAATATTCAGGGCCTGACGTTTTTGTCTGACCCACAAATCGGTTGGCACTGCCAGTCTAAGGGGTTAGGGGTTTGTTGAGAAGTAGAGATACAGACTTTGCTCATTACTAAGACAGGTAAAAAGGACAGGATCATAGGGATGCAAAGCTCCTCAGCTTTGTAGCTATGGATTCATTAGGCCTTGGAAAATACTTAAGTTGTTTCGTTTTTTGTTTTTAAGTATACGTGTCCTCATGAAAGAGCTATCTGCCATCTTGGGGAGGGAGGTCGGGAGGAAGGGGGAGAAAATTTTAAAACTCAAAAGCTTATGGAAGTGATTGTTGATAATTCAAAATAAATTAATGGAAAGCTAGAGCAGTCCATTGCCCTCAATACTAGGGCTTAAGAGGATATAGCTCTAAAAATCTTTTGTTTCTTTTGTTTGGGTTTTTTTTTTGATAGTTTTTCCATATTAATAAGTGCACCCTTATTTTCATAAAAACAAAAGGCATTTGTAAAAATCCTTTTAAAAAATTAACATACCACAATATGTAGATCCATCTTCTGGCACAATTTTTTGTAGCCACTTAATATCTGAGATTTTATCTCAGAGTGCTGTTGAAGATGCTGTATTTTAATAAAGAAATCATTCTGCCTTTCTGCCTCCTCAATTAAGTTCATTTCAAATTTGTGGATGGTATTATGATGGTCTCTTTTCATTTCTATGACACACCTTAACACTTCCTAGCAGGAAGAAAATGTAACAAATTAGAAAATTTGCTTCAGATAAGATGCAAAGATTTTTATCCATTCATTCAGTTTGTGAACCTTAAGATTTTTACAAGAGTAGAAGGAATATGTTCTTTTTCTAATTAGAAGAGTTCTACAACTGATGAAGGATACAAATCCAAGGCATAAATACTAAAAAATCAGAGTAAAATTTCGTATAATCTTATTCCGGCTTTGGTGGCAGAAGACTGTGGAAGAAGTTGGATGGGAGGGCAGCACCAAGACCACAGAGAAAAGGCCTCTGAACATCTTTAAAATAATGCCATGAAACAATTCCTGGAGAAGCAAAACCCACAAAAACTGGATGAAGTGATTTTCCTGCCAAAGACAATTTAGAAGGTCCCCAGGAAAGGACTGTCCCACCTGGGTGAGAGTGGAGCACACTCCAACACAGCTATGCCAGCACAGACCAGGCACCAGCAAACTGTCAGCAGGCCTTGGGAGCCACTGAATCAGCAGGGGCAGCAGTTGTTTCAGGGGATCTCACAGAGCGCAGGGGGGTCAAATAACTGATCAGAAGGAGATTACAGGAGTCTCTTTACTAGCACTGCAAATTATCACCTCATCAAGCCTATATAAAAGAAACTTGGAATACAAAATGAGAAAAGATTCCAGTGAGAAAAAGGATGAATTACTTCAAGCAATATGGAATTCAAATGTTATTAATCAATAACAAATCTAAACATCAAATTAAAAAAAAGATACACAAAGAAAACTGAACCAAGTGTTGGTGACATGGCAAGTCAAAAATCAACAAGCATTTATTAAGCTCCTACTATATGCCAAACCCTGGGGATTAAAAGATAGGCAAAAAACAGCCCCTGCCTTCAAAGAGTTCGCAATCTAAGGGAAGAGACAACATGAGAACTACAGGGTGTCCTCCACAAAAATCTTATGGCAGTTTTAAAACTATTAAAATTAAGATTTCGAGGACACCCTGTATATACAAAAAAGACATTTCCAGGATAAATTGGAGATACTCTCAGAGGGAAGGCACTCGGCATTAGGAGGGACTGGGAAAGCCCTGTAAAATAATATTGAAGTCTAAAATTGTGTGCAGTTTTCGTGGTCTGCCTTCTGTTCTCAAAGAGGACCATGACATCACGAAGACAATATTTGGGAAAAGAGGAAGAGTCAAAGAAGCACAGGACTGCTGCACTGCTGAAAGTGTATAGGATCATAGGATAAAATAGGATGAAATCAGAATTATTCAGTTCTTTTTTATACCAAGGAGAATATCTTTAGACTGGAAAGGGCAGAATAAAAAGGCAGATAGAGCTGATACCCAAGACAAATAGAGAAATAAGATGCTAAGAGAGTAGCTTAGCTAACAGCCATAAATGGGCCCAAGTCTTGAGAGAACTGAAAGGTGGTGAATGCTGGACGAGTCAACAAACTCTGAAAGATCAGAGAAAACACGATGGGTAGAGAAGGTAAATACTGTCTTGATTTTCAAAAAAGAGGAAGAGAGTGGAGCCTGTGATACTATAAGCAAACTGGGAGAGCAAGGAATAGTTTACTTATCAGATCTATGGAGAACAGAAGAATTCATAACCAAACAAGAGATAGAGAATGTTACAAACAAAGCCAATGCAACTAAGATTAGAAGAAAGGTAGAAAATTGGGAAAGAATTTTTACAACCAGTCTCTCTGATAAGGGCCTTATATCTAAAATATATGTAGAATTAAATCAAATTTATAAGAATACAAACCATTCCCCAATTGATAAATGGTCAAAGGATATGAACAGACAGTTCTCAAGATAAAGAAATTAAAGCCATCTATAGTCATATGAAAAAATGCTCTAAATCATTATTGATTAGAGAAATGCAAATCAAAACAACTCTGAGGTACCACATCACACCTATCAGATTGGCCAACATGACAAAACAGGAAAACGATAAATGTTGGAGAAGATGTGGGAAAATTGGAACACTAATGCATTGTTGGTGGAATTGTGAAATGATTCAATAATTTTGGAGAACAATTTGGAACTATGCCCAAAGGGCTATAAAAATGGGCATACCCTTTGACCCAGCAATAGCACTTCTAGGACTATATCCCAAAGAGATCACACAAATGGGAAAAGGACCCATATGTACAAAAATATTCATAGTAGCTCTTTTTGTGGTGGCAAAGAATTGGGAATTGAGAGGATGCCCATCAATTGGGGAATGGCTGAGCAAGTTGTGGTATATGAATGTAATGGAATACTATTGTGCTATAAGAAACGATGAGGAAGTAGAATTCAGAAAAACCTGGAAAGACTTGTATGGACTGATGCTGAGTGAAGTGAGCAGAACCAGGAGAACGTTATACACAATAACAACCACACTGTGTGATGACTAATATTGATAAACTTAACCCTTCCCAGCAATAGAAGGATCTAGGACATCTCCAGAGGCCTCATGATAGAAAATGCTATCCACATCCAAAGAAAGAACTATGAAAGTTGAATTGCTTTTTTTCCCCCTCTTCTGTTGAGTTTTGTTTCCTCTTTCTAATGGTTCCCTCCTATTAGTTTTAATTTTTACTTACAACTTCACTAAAGTGAAAATACGTTTAATAGGAATGTAAATGTATAGCCTATATCAGATTGTGCACCGTCTTGGGGAGGGTGGTGGGGAGGAAGGGGGAGAAAAATTTTAAACCCAAAAGCATATGGAAGTGATTGTTGATAAATCAAAATAAATTAATAAAATAAAAAGAAAGAGTGAAGGCTGAAAGCTATCAGCCAGAAAATGAACTCCACTTCAAGAGGTAGCAAAAGTCTAGAACATATTCTAGAACAGACCTGCACAACTTGGCAGAAAGTAGAGGCCAAAATTAAATTAGGCTAAACTTCAGGCCGCAGAAGTTTATTTTCCAAGTAAAGGTGACTAGAGACAAACTGACAATGGTTGGTTGCTGCAAATCACATGACAAACAGGAGAGAGTGCCCAGTAACAGAGCTGCAAGTGGCCAGAGGGCCCTATATTGTGAAGGCCTGACCAGAATATGGATAGTGGACATCAAGAAAAGGACGCACTGGTGACAAAAGTGTTCATGGCGGTAAATGTGCTGCCCAACCTAAAACACACCCTCATTTATTAGAAAACCACGACACATAGAAGCATATACCTCAAAGACTTTCAGGAAGCAGGTGATATTTGCGTGGAGACTATTATTATGACTCCAGGCATCAGCTAGACTTTTTCCAAAGTATTCAGGAAAAACATATAGGTGAGCGTTGACCTGAAGGCGATTGTGGATATAATATGTCCTCTCAAAGTAAAAAGAAAGTCTGGTCAGGAACCCAGAGCGATAGTCCAACATAATGTATTTCTCCAGAAGTCTCTAAAGAAAATTAAAATCACTTAATTAAGACATGAATTTATTTCAATCAAATACCTTGGAAAATATTTAGAAATCCTAATTTTAATTGCTTCTGCAGGAAAAACATTATTAAAAATCCAATCCAGTTTTGAATCAACAAAATTATTGGAAAGAAAACATCAGCTAGGTGCAATATAAATACAAACTCAATAGATAGATCTGGTGGCCAAAATTTTAATGCTGTTTAATGTATCTCCAGCACAGGGGAAAAAAAAATCAATAACTTGCCCTTCTATTCCCTAAGGTAATTCGTCTTCCGACTTGATTATTGGACCAAGTATCTTGCTGGTAGCAGATGTAAGACTAATGAAATAGTGCAAACATTTTTTCTTTTAAAGCAGAGGATTTTATTTGGGTAAATACTCTCAGAATAGACATGTAGACAGATGTAGTTTAGGATATCCTAATTTTTTTTAAACCAACTAAAGACATTGCTCAGCAAATATAGTACCTATAATATAAAATATTATATTATATATGATAATATAAAATATATCTACTTATAGTACTTAGCAATGACATTATTATGTAACCTATGTAACACAGGTTTATTAGATTAGTAACTAAACTACTAAATTAGGAAATTAAAGTGGGTCTTTTTCAGCAAAGATTGTGAATAAACATCTCATGACAGCTTAGGGAATAATGGGAACTAGGTCAGCAGGGAAGGGAAGGGTAAGAAAGTGAAATGAATGATACAGAGGATAGAGGACACTGGCTTAACTCAGTGTAATGAACCCAGTTTGAGGGTTTTAACTAACCGTAAGCTCAAAGAGAGCCAAGAGGGAGCAGAGTCAAAGTAGGACTGCAGATATAGACATACAAGGTGAATAGCCCAAGCAGTCTAGGTTGGTTTAAATGCCAAAGAACAATATTAACATTTCTACTAGGCAGTAGCAATCTAGTGATTTTTCTCATATTAAATTTGATTTCAGGACTTCTGCAAGAGATTGGTGGTGATACAGAATGTATCAATATTTATACAAAGAATACAAGAAAACAAAAAGTACCAGCCAAGTAATTAACAATGGAAGTTTTCAAAACTATAGTTTTGAAATGGAACTGACTTGTGAAGGAACACTCAAAGGAAAAAAAATTGACTGCACCCTAAAAAAAAAAAAAACACGATGCCAGATTTCTCCAGGATCTCAACAATCTAAAATCAAAAATCCTGGTTAGATAATGTCTCCAGGGGTACTCAAAAAAGCAAAAGGCCCAGTTTTATCCCAGATCAGGCCCCACATGTAGGCACCCAACAACTAGCCACCCTACTCATACTTGCTCCTCCCTGAAGGCCAGAGTTCTCTGGTTCCTCTTTAGGGAATGAAGGGTTGCCTAGCCTCCCTGCTGTGACTGAGGAGAATATGATTGTCTGTCTTCAAATATATGAAGGTGTTGTGCCATATTGGAGAGAGAGTACACTTAAGAGGGCAGTACTAGCAAGTTACAGGAAAGCTGTTTTTGGTTCATTAAAGAAGAAATCACTAACAAGCACTGTCTAACAAGGAAATGTGGCAAGTAAATTCCTGGTACTGAAGTACTTAGCCAAAGGATATATAGGATAATCATCAAATAATAGAAAAGATTTCTGCATTGGGAGGACAAGGAACTAGTTGGATGACTAAGGTTCTTCTACTTTTAAAATTATCATACACACATATAAAAAGCACAAGGAGAGAACACTAATGCTGTGCCTTACAGATTCATAAATTTCATCATGTTTCATTTTAGTTTAAAAGTGTTTGCTTACTCATGGTCCATGTTTGTGCCTATACACTCACAGCTTAAAAACAAATGAAAAGTCTAACAAAAACATAGATTTAAACATTTCATACTAATCACTAAACTATGCCAAAAGATGGTCTGCTACTCCCTAGCACTGAGTGACTAATGAGATGGCAGTCAAACAGTTTTCTTCATTTTCATTTGCTCCAAAACAGTGCAAAAGTAAATAACATCATTTATTAATGTATATGATACCTCTTAGACCACAGGTGTCAAACTTGATGAAAATAACTAGAAAACGTTTAATGTTTAACACAGGGGCCGATAAATAGCATTGTGGATAGAGTGCTAGGCCTGGATTCAAAAAGAATCAACTTCCTGGTTTCAAATCTAGCCTCAAATGTCGTGTGACCCCGGGCAAGTCACCATGTTTCCTCATCTGTAAAATGAACTGGAGAAGGAAATGGCAAACCACTCCAGTACCTTGGCCAAAAAAACTCAAAAATGGGGTCAAAGACAGTGGAACAGGACTGAAAAACTACTATACAAGAACAACATAACATAAGTGAGGTTACTTTGTGGAGCCACAGGGATCCATTTCTATTTGAATTTGATACCACTGTCTTAGATCATATTTTAAGTACATATTTAACTACAGTCACTCTGGAGGAAAATACTGTCTTAGTAGTATAAATTGTTGGAACGCACCTTTATATGCAAGTACTTTCGTTTAAAATTTTCAAGATGAAATTGTTTGAAATCCGTTCTTGGGTTTTCTACATTGTTTATCAACTTTTTCAGATACTGCTGGTCCTGTGGGAGAAATTTCAGGAATGAATTATAAATCTATTCATCTATTCATCAATATTTGAATAAGTCCTCCCAGTGTGGACCCTACGAACTATCATCTTTTAGATCACAGACAAGCTTTAGCTTGTTTTGGAGTTACCCAAAATAGGAAAAATTAAATCAGATTGTTCCCAATTATTCCCAATCTCCCTCAATAGCTGAAGTTCATGGGAAATAATTAGTAGAAAACCATGCATTTGCCATGTAGCTAAAGTTGCAGTAAGTAGGAAATCACTTGTTAACTGATATGATCAGACTTGTAGATTAGGAAGATCAATGCTGTTGCTACGTGAAATCTTCTGGATGTTTCCACATGGATGTGTATATCCTCTCTGGAGGATTTATGAGAGGATATGTTCAAGAATCAGACAGGATGGGAAGGCATGGGCATCTGTCCCACTGGAGGGAGTGTCTACATTGATGCATTTGCAGAGAAACTCAAGAACCAAAGCTATTTCAATATTCAAGGTGAGAAGTGAAAAGGGGCCAGGTCTGGGGTGGAGGAGGCCCTGTAAAAAGTGGGAGAAGTACAAGATATTGTGGAGATAGAAACTGACAAAACTTGGAAACTGATAATAAGTGAGGGTGACAGAGATGGTAGAGATAAGCCGGGGACCTAGGAAGAGGGGAGAAACAGGGAAGTAGGGACCTGGGATTGGGGCTCTAAGTCTTAGAAATAGTGGTTGAAGTGCCAGGGGAAGGGTCCAACAGGCAGTCTGAAGTCCAGGCCCAGCATTCAAGAGAAATTTGGGGGTTGGAGATATGGATTCAGGAATGTAAAAGCTGAATCCATGGGAGTAGATGAACACAGGGACAAGAGATAAGAGCCCTAAACAAGCCTAAGAGAGACTTAAGGTGTAGGAGGAGGAAGAAGACTAATGGAAGAAACCGAGCAATGTCCAGCTAGGTGGGAGAACCATGTAATAGCGTCACGGAAGTCAAGGAATGAATGAAAGGTAGGCTAAGGTGGGCAGGAGGGAGAAAAGCATCTTCTGTTATCTCATTTGTTTCTCACAACAACTCTGTGAGTTAGGTGCTTTAAAGAACCATTTTACAGATGAGACTGGGAGGACTTCGGTGTTTTGCTCAGAGCCTCACAGCTATTAAGTGTCTAAGGAGGGATTTGAGCCCAGGTCTTCTAACTTTCAGTCCACTGATATACCCACTCTGGCAAGCTGCCTCCCCAAGTCACAAACCTCTCTGACACTGCCTTCTATTGACTCTGACTAAAAGCATCCATCTACCTCTCAGTTACTATATCTACTAGGCCTTTTTTCTCCCTCCTGCCCAGGTGCTGTCTCCTTCCTTTTCTTGGGCAGCCATTTTAATTGGTGTTCCTAGAGTAAAGGTCATTCTGCTGTCAGCTCTTAACTCCTCCACCCCATACAAAAGCTCCAGCCTTTCTTTGATCATCTTCTTTGCCCTAATATGGCTTTAAAAACCCTTCCTGTTGCCTTTAGCTTCACTTGCCAGCATCAGCTCATTCTGGGCTTTTTCAATGCTGAGATTTTTTTTCTTGGCTAGGCAATGGGGTTAAGTGACTTGTCCAGAGTCACACAGCTAGTGAACTCAGATCCTCCTGACTCCAAAGCCAGTGCTCCATCCACTGCGCCTCCTAGCTGCCCCGTCACCCTGACATATTTTAAAGCACCAAGGACACTCATATTCACCCTTGATGACCTGCTTTGCCTGCCATCTTTTGTCTGTATCTTTTCTAAAATGGTTCCCTCTGCACGATCTCTTCAGATGACTGTTCCTCTTTATTGGAATTACTTCCTTTTGTTTCTGCAGAATTCACTCCCTAAAGTCTCAAATCTGCTTCAGCTATTTCTCCTGCAGGATTTTAGTCCAAGGGACCTACCTATCTTTCCTGCTCTCTCCAAATCTGGGGCGCATGTGAAATTCAGCCTAATTGATACATCTCTACTGAAACTCTAGGAGACAGTGCTCATCCTTACTCCCTTCTCAGGGGGTTCCCATCATTTCCACCCTTGGACCTATTTCTTCCTTACTGGTCGGATCAGATTTCTCTCACTTCCTCTCTTTCCTTTACCACATTATCAGTTGCCAAGTCTTGTTGGCACTACCTCTCCTAGTTATCCTTTCTCTCTATTCATATGACCTCAGCTCCAGCTCAAGTCCTCATTGCTTAGTGATCTCATCAGGTGCTATGGATTCAATGATATATTAAACTAATACTAATCTACAATTGTCTATTGTACATCAGGAACTGGATGCTCCTTAGATAGCTTAAACTTAACATGTCCAAAATTGAACTCATTACCTCCACCTCCCCCAACTCCTGCTGTAACACTCTCTGCTTCCTAATTTTTTTGTTACTATTGAGGCTACCACTTTCCTCCCAGTTACCCAGGCCTACAATTTGTGTCATCCTCAATTCATCTCCTCTCACTCCTCCCCTCCCCTCCAATCCATATTCCAGTAGTTTTTATTTTCTCAGTATCTCTTGTATATGGCCTTCTCCCCTCTGATACTAACACCACTCTAGTGCAGACCTTCATAACCTGATGTCTGGACTACTATAACAGCCTTCTGGTTGGGTTTTCAGAATATCCAAGGAAGACCACCTTCTATGGGTAGTTGAGAGAGTGGAGATGAAGGACATGGAAGGTGAGGATTCTGATTAAATGGGAAATCAGGATGCTAGAAGAATTTCATCAAGAATAGTCAAGAAGAATTCACCCTGAAAGATGGCAGGTGTTGGGCTAGAGAAAATGATAACACATCAGACATATTGAAGACATTCTGGAAGGAGGGAAGGGTGACTTTGTAGGTTTATAGATAGTACAACAAGAAGGCCTTGAACAGTGTGACATAATTGGACTTCTTATACAAAGCATGTACCTGATGAATGCTTATTATTCTCATTATTATTGTATCACCACCATTCATAGTGACAGCATTTTACATTTAAAAAAGCCCAGTCACAGGACAAGATACTGGATTTGTAACAAGGAGCCCAATAACTTACTAGCTCCATGACCTTATGCTACTCACTTAACCAGAACATCACTTTTTTTATTTGCAAAAAGAGGTAAGAGTAGCCTTGGCTATCTAAGAAAGTCATGAGAATCAAATGAGGTAAGTGAATGGAACACTGCATAGTCTCTCCCCACTCTCAGCTCCTTTCTGAAAGTCATCATTCACGGCTCCCCTCTACAGCTGGAACAACCCCTCATCTGTGTTCAGCCAACAGCAGTTTATCAACAGGGCAAAACAATTCTCACCAGGGCTCCACTCTTCTTTAGGCTTTCTTTCAAATGGCTTACTTCCATCAGGAGAGCCTTCTCTGTCTCCTTCAGGGCATCTCTTTCCTCGATGATAGTGTTCATTTTACTAAGGCTTGAATCAAGTTTCTGGGTCAAGTCCAGTCTCGCTGTCTCTACTGCCGACAATGTTTGAATCAGCCGCTCCACCAACTGACACAGCGTTTGCTTTTGTAACTTAGTCTCATTCACCTCTTTTCCCACACTAAGAAGCATCTCTTCTGTTTCTTGAAGCTTTAAGATCTTGAGACATAGGTTAAAAAAAAGGTAAATGGTATGTAAATAAATGTAGGAATAATTTTCCTAACACTTCTATAAGGTAGCCACAGAAACCTAGTCTATAGTAAGCCTACCTAGTCTTACCTTCTGTCGTAATTCATTTTGTTTACTCTAGACCTCCTTGAATTCTGAAGATGTGAGCTTCCTTTTCTGACAAGTCCCCTTTCCATTTTTCAGTAACCATTTGCATCCCAATACAAAAAAGTCATATAATGAATGAGAAGTTCAGAGATGTGTGAACTATATGAACTAACTATCTGCCGTATGAACTAACCCAGAACAAAATGAGTACAATAGAAGGATATCAATAATGAAGATAACAACAACTGGAAAGTTCACTAAAAGGAAACTGAATGCAAAGTAAACAAATTATCTCATGTAATCAATCCTCAAAAAAGAAAAGTCAGGAGAAAAAAAAGAGTTATAGCTTTCAAAATTATGGGTAGGGAAAAAATCCTAACCAAGGAAGAGGTAGAAGAGGCAAAACAACTCAGATAAAATTATGGTTCGGTGTCAATACAGTAAAGATGGCTACTACGTAAATTAGTATTTGGTTTAGGGCTCCAGCAATCAAATTACCAATTTTTAGAGCTAGACAATACTAATTTTGAGGACTAAAAATTTAAGGAATACATATGGTGATAATAGATTTCAGCTGAAGTTATCTCCATATTTTCATGCAGATCAGTAAAAAACCTAGATGGGCAAGCCCAAGACTATTAATTGTTATAAATGTAATTAATGAAATAATAAATGCTATGGGGTTGCAACAGAATTAGTTGATCATGGAAGAAAAGTTACTAAATTCTTCATACCCTTTAACACAGAAATCCCATTCCTGGGATGCTCTCTCAGGAGAAGGGAAGCAGTACTGACAAGCAAAAAAACACCTATATATACTAAAATGTAATGACCGTAATGGCATTTCTTACTAAGATGTAAGGAATGATGAACATGAAAAATTTAGAAAAACATGAGAAAACAAAGTCAAAAGGACAACATATACATAGACTACAACCATGGAAATAGAGTCAACATGGAGAAGCAACAAAATTCTGGTTAAATACAGGTGTTGCGGTAACCACCCCAACAAAGTTAAAGGATACACTCCCTCTTTCTGTGAATACTCAATCTTACTGTTTGGGGGATGGAATGCATTTTCGAATTGGGTTTGCTTGTTTGTCTAAACCAAACATTTCAGTCTATTAGCAATCCTTCAGTGCTTTATCAGGGATAGATGGACTTTCATGTTCCTTTTGTTTTTCTAGATTCTATTAGTGGAAGAGAAAACATTACTATATTTCATAAATTCCATAACTACTCCATATATACATAACTATTTTTTTTACAAGTCTGCACACAAAGAATACTGAGCTCAGGTGTCTTCCTCAGGGCATCTTCCTTCTTAGTTCAATCTGATTCAATACAACAAGCATTTGTTAGGCACTTTCTAGGTTTAAGTCAGGGGCCAGGTGTAGAGGATACAAAGATGATAGTCCCTGCCCTCAAACCTCAAAGAGTTTACATTTCTACTACAGAGCTATGACATGTGCAAAGATAAATACAAGATAATTTGAAGAGAATATGAAAGGGTAGGGGTAATCAGGAAAATTTATCTCCAGGAAGTAATATATAGCTGTACCTTAAAGTAAGTTGAGGACTGGGGACAAATTTGCACATTGACAAGGGATGGATTGGTGAATTCTGGGAAAGTACATAAGCCAGACTGGCTATAATGAAGAGTAAGTGAGGGAAGTAACAAGAAATAACTTTGGAAAAAATGAAGATTATTAAGTAAGGCATGCATGGCCAGACTAATTAGAAAGCTACAGCAAAAGTTACAATAAGAGGATAGAGAAGTTAACAGATATGAGAAGTGTTACAAAGGAAGAATGTCAAACTTGTTCAGTAACTAGATATGGGAAGGTGAGGAAGAAGGAAGAGTTGAAAATGACTCCCAAGGTTGTGAAGCTGGGAAATAAAGTATATCTGCTGAGATTGGCATCATTATTTTGGAGGAGAAGGAAGGGAAGGGGAGAAAAAAGAGAAGGAATGAGTTTAGGGGGGGAAAGGAACTGTTTCCAAATATGCTGAGTTTGAAATACCTATAAGATATCCACGTAGAGCTTTCCAGGTAAGGATGCAGGACTTATTTGTTAATTTACTTAGAGAATTCTAGGGAATCAATAAAGAAACTACATAAGACAACAGCTTAAACAAAATAGCATTTTACAAAGTAAAACCATAAAAAATTACCAGCCTTTCTATAGAGAAATAAGAAAATCCCCAAAGGCCATAATTGAAATGAAGTCCAAACTAAATAACTACAAAATACATTAAATAGTTGGTCTAGTGTGTCAAGTGGTATGAGGAAGGCTATCATGAAGCTTACTTTAGCAAGGTCTACTATGTTTTCCAATAATATTAAAGCAGTATACATAGAATCCTGTCAGACACTTATCCAGCTCAAAAAACCCAAACCTACCTTTTCCTGCAGTCCTGCATTGGTTTTCTCTAAAGCTTCTTGACTCTTTGACACTTGAGTTGTCTTCTCTGAAATGCATTCTTTGAGTTTATGAATCGTCTCTTGGTGCTCCTTCAGACACATCTCAGCAAATTTTAGTTCTTCTTGTGTTTCTTGGTCCTTCAGTATTAAAGGAAGATCCAAGGTTATATTTATAATACTATTATCCTAACATTTCTTCGTCCTTTCTAAAAGTTGGTTGTCATAAAAACATATGTACTAGATTGTGATGTTTACCTTGGCTACGAGGTCCCTTATGGTTTCTTTCAGCTGGTCCCTCTCTTTGTGAAGAGCCTCTTGTGTCTTTGTCAATTCATCTCTTTCCTCAGTTACAGATGTTGTTTCTTCAACACTGGCTTTGAGTTCATTTTCCTTCATTTTTTCTTTAGCTTCACTGTCTTCTTCTCTAACATTAAAAATTTGCTCTTGTTTGGCCTCAAGTTTTTGAATCTTGTAAGAAATGGAAAAATGTTTAGTACAGTTATTTTAGGAGACAGTTAAATAATTATTTTAACTAAGGCCCATGATGCTACCTAACAAGGTCAATGCAGTAAATTCAGAACTCAGTCAGCTATTCAGCACTGAAAAAAAACCAACCTCACCTTTTCTTGCAGTTCAGCACTAGTTTTCTTTATAGCTTCTTTCTCTGAAATGCATTCTTTCAGTTTATCCATTGTGTCTCGGTGTTCCTTCAGATCCATCTGAGCAACTTTTAGTTTTTCTTGCATTTCCAGATCCTTTTGGGAGTGGGGAGGAAGGGAAGACCCATGAAAAATATTTATAGTAAGATTGTACAGACACTTTCTTTTCTGGAATACTAGTCTCTCATGAAACCTGTTATTCGATAGGGGACAAGGTGATGCTTACCTTGGCTATCAGGTCCCTTATGGTTTCTTTGAGTTGGTCCCTCTCTCTGTGAAGAGCCTCTTGTGTCTTTCTCAATTCATCTCTCTCCTCAGTTACAGATGTTGTTTCTTCTAGACTAGCCTGGAGTTTCTGAGCCAGCTCCAGGCTTTCCATCTCTATCCTCTCCAGGGTAGAATCTCTGGACTTTAATTGCTCCTTCAAATGTTCCACCTCATTCACTTTTTCCTGAGCCTCGGTGACTTCTTTTCTACTATTAAAAACTTGCTCCTTTTGCTCCTGAAGCTCTTGAATCTTGTTGCAAATTAAGAAAAAAAGATACAAACTTAGCATAAACCGGAAAATGATAAAGGTTGGAGAAGATGTGGGAAAATTGAAACACCATTTAGAACTATGCCCAAAGGGCTATAAAAATGTGTGTAATTGGGGCAGCAAGGTGACTCAGGGATAGCATTCTGGACTTGGAGTCAAGAGGACCTGAATTTAAATCCAACCTCAGACACTTGAAACGTACTGGCCGTGTGATCTTGGGCAACTCACTTAACCCGTTTGCGTCATCAAAAAAAAAAGGCAAAAATTAAAATGTGTATACCCTTTGACCCAGCTATACCACCTCTAGGGCTGTATCCCAAAGAGATCATAAAAATGGGAAAAGAACCCACATGCACAAAAATATTTACAGCAGCTCTTTCTGTGGTGGCCAAGAATTGGAAATTGAGAGGATGCCCATCAATTTTGGAATGGCTGAACAAGTTGTGGTATATGAATGTAATGGAATACTATTGTGCTGTAAGAAATGATCAGCAAGTGGACTTCAGAAAAACCTGGAAAGACCTGTATGGACTAATGCCGAGCAGAACCAGGAGAACACTGTACACAGTGACAGCCACATTGTGTGATGACTAACTTTGGTAGAATTAGCTCTTCTCAGCAATTCAAGTATCTATTTTATTCGGTTTGGTTTTGTTTCTTCTTTCTTATGGTTACTTCTATCAGTTCTAATTCTTCTTTAACACATGATTAACATGAAAATATGAAAGTTTTTGTTAAAAAACTAAAAATTAATTAATTAGATTGAATTAATTGCCACCACAAAAAGCTGCTATAAATATTTTTGTAATTAAAAATTAAATTAAAAAAACTTTTTCTTGGAGCTCTTGAATCTTGTTTCAAATAAAAAAATTACTTATACTAAACAGTCATGTTCTGAAAGGCCCACTGGGCTACTCAAATACCAAAAGGTCATGCTATATTCACAGCCACAAAAAAATAAACTCAACCTCTACCTCCCAAAACCTTCACCCTATTCCCATTTCTCAACTTTTTACATGTTCAGAAGACTTTTACAACCCTTTCCAAATGTATATTGTTTCCTCTTTAACCCAGATTAGAATAAGAGCATTAAGAGCCCTCTACCCACACCTGCTTCCTATGTATTAGTTCTTCTTTTCATGCCCCCTTTTCCAGACCCAATTTTGTTCTTTATAATTACACAACTCAGCCCCAAACTTACTTTCAAATTACCTTAGTAATAATGACAGTTTTAAGACTACTTATTGTATATTTAAATATTATTAGTAAACAGTTTAACCTTAACGAGTGCCTTACAAGTACTCATTAATGTTCTCCAAGAGAAGAAAGTGAGGCTGGTGACTTTGCACAGCACCTCCTTGCTTAAATCCAATTCACTTACAAGTCATCTCAACACCTTCCTAATTTCATGGTCCTCTGAGAATAAATGACAATTAACAGTATTTCTTCTGGATCAAATTTTCCATTGAGTTCTGGACTTTCTGTTACAAATACCTGAAGGTCTTACAGTTTGTCAAATGCACATTTTTTTTCATTCAGGATTATACTCAGCTTTGCTGGGTAAGCTATTCTTGGATGCAAATATATTCTTGGACAATTAAAGGGCCATACTTGAGGACCTTGAGGGCCACAGGTAGTCTTGAGGCCGAAAGTTCCCCGCCCCTGGTCTAGTGTGTCAAAGGTTATATAAGGGTTCATATTTCCTTTAAGACTATCATAAAGCTTACTTTGGCAAGGTCTACTGTGTTTTCTAATAATATTAAAGCAGTATACATAGAATCCTGTCAGACACTTATTCACCTCAAAAAACCCAAACCTACCTTTTCCTGCAATTCTGCATTGGTTTTCTCTAAAGCTTCTTGACTCTTTGACACTTGATCTGTCTTCTCTAAAATGCTTTCTTCAAACATATCAATCGTCTCTTCATGCTCCTTTAGACACATCTCAGCAAATTTTAGTTCTTCTTTTGTTTCTTGATCCTTTAGTATTAAAGGAAGATCAAAGATTATATTTACAATAGTATTATCATAACATTTCTTTTTCTATTCTAAAAGGCTTGGTTCACACAAGAACATATTTACTACATGGCGATGCTTACCTTGGCTATGAGGTCCCTTATGGCTTCTTTCAGTTGGTCCCTCTCTCTGTGAAGAGCCTCTTGTGTCTTTGCCAATTCATCTCTCTCCTCAGTTACAGATGTTGTTTCTTCTAGACTGGCCTGGAGTTTCTGAGCCAGCTCCAGGTTTTCCATCTCTATCCTCTCCAGGGTAGATTCTTTGGATTTTAATAGTTCCTTCAATTGTTCTATTTCATTCATTTTTTCTTGAACTTCATTGACTTCCCCTCTAATACTAAAAGTTTGTTCTCGTTTTGCCTCAAGTTCTTGAATCTTGTGAGAAACAGAAAAATGTTAAGTACAGTTATGCTTAAGATACAGTCATGCTCCCTATCAAGTTAAAAGCAGGAAAATTCAGAACCCAGTTAGTCTGCTATTCAGCACTGCAAAAAAAAAAAAATCCAGGCCCACCTTTTTTTGTAATATAGCAATGGTTTTCTCTGAAGCTTCTTTCTCTGAAATGAATTCTTCCAATTTGTCAATTGTCTGTCGGTATTCCTTCTGACACATCTGAGCAATTTCTAGTTCTTCCTGTGTGTCTAGATCTTTTGGGAGTGGGAAGGGAAAAGCCAAGAAAAATATTTATAGTAAGATTTTACAGGTAAATTTTTTTTTGGTCATTTGCACAGAATAAGCTAAATTTAGGTTGAATTATCATTTCTATTAAATTTATTGAGCTTACCCATGGGCATGATATTTTTCCAGTTGTTTAGATCTGATTTATTTCTATCTCTTGCTGCTGGGTTTTATTGGTAGTATGTAAAAATGCTGATGATTTATGTGATTCAGTATCCTGCAACTTTGCTTAAGTTAAATAAAGTTTGCTAAAGTAGTTTTTTAGTTGATTCTCTAGGAATCTCTGAGTATACATTATATCATCTGCAAGGAATTATCATTTTTTGTTGTGGTATGAATATAATGCAATATTATCTGCTATAAGAAATGAGTAGGCAGACCTCAGAAAATTCTGGACTTACATGAACTGATGCTGAGTGAAATGAGCAGAACCAAAAAAACATTGTATACAGCAATAGCAACACTGAGATGACTAACTTTGATAGCCTTAGCTAGCTCTTCTCAGCAATGCAAGGATCTAAGACAGCTCCAAAAGACTCATGATGGAAAATGCTATCCACATCCAGAGAAAGAACTACAGAGTGTGAATGCAGAAAGAAGCATACCATTTGCTCTCACTTTGTTTTGTCTCTTCTTTCTCCTGGTTCCTCCCATTGGTTCTAATTCTTTATAATATGACTAATGTGAAAATGTTTAATGCTTGTTTCCTCATTGCCTATTCCAATTCCTACTATTTCGTTTTCTTCTCTTATTGCTCAAGCTAACTTTTTTTTTTTGGCAATTGGGGTTAAGTGACTTGCCCAGGGTCACACAGCTAGTAAGTGTCAAGTGTTTGGTCTGAGGCCAGATTTGAACTCAGGTCCTCCTGACTTCAGGGTGGGTGCTCTATCCACTGTGCCACCTAGCTGCCCCCTAAAGTAACATTATTAGAAATGTTGATTGACAGTGGTGATAATGGACATCCTTGTTTCACCCCTGATCTTACTGGCAGTTTCTAGCTTATCCCTTTTACACAAAATGCTTTCTGGTTTTATATAGACACTATTTACCTTATGGGAAACTCCATTTATTCTTGTGCTTTCTAGTATTTTTAATAGGAATGGGTGCTGCATTTTTTCAAAAGCTTATTTTGCATCTGAGATAATTATGATTTCTTTTAGTTTTGCTATTGATGTGGTAAATTATGCAGATTGTTTCCCTAATAATGATCCAGCCTTGCATTCCTGATATAAATCTCACCTGGTCACAGTATATTATCCTGGTGATAAATCACAGTAATCTCTTTTTGCTAATTTTATTTACAATTTTTCATCAATATTCAACAAGGAAATTTATCTACAATTTTCTGTTTTTGGTCTTCCTCGTTTAGGTATCAGTACCATATTTGTATCGTAATGATTCTGGTGGGACTCATTTGTCTATTTTTCCAAATACTTTATATAATATAGAAATTAATTGTACTTTAAATGTTTTGTAGAATTCACTTGTAAATCCACCTTGCCCTTGAGATTTTTTCTTGGGAGTTCACTGACGGCTTGTTCAATTGCTTTTTCCAAAATGGGATTAAGTACTTTATTTTCCCTTCTGCTAACCTGGGATTTTTGAAAAATATTCCTCCATTTCACTTAGATTGTCATTTTTCTTGACATACAGTTGGGAAAAATAGCCCTAATCATTGCTTTAATTTCCTCTTAATTAGCTGTGAATTCACCCTTTACATTTTTGATACTGATAATTTGGTTTTCTTTTTTGTTTTAAATCAAAGCAACCAAAGATTTATTTTGTTGGTTTTTTCATAAGGCCATCCATCTCTTAGTTTTATTTATTAATTTATTAATTTTCTGAGTTCTGAGCTTCCTGAACACACTATATATGCATTATATGAATCCAGAAAATTTCACATGAAAATATTTCACGTGCAATATTACATAATACATATTTATATATTATGCATATTTTGTATATGATCTACACAAATGTGAACACAAATACTTAATAGAAACCATGCTATAGTTATGATATAAACCATGAAATCATTGATACTCACAAAGAGAAGCATGTAATTATATTAATGCAAATATATATTTGCAAATAAATTATTATATTACAAAAGCATATTCATAGCAACATAATTGCTTTAGAACCTATATATCAATATGAAATAGTGATAACATTACATAAAGATTAATAACATACAATAATTTAAATTTTACCTTCAGATCCTGCTGTAATGTGATGGAAGAGGAGGTCACTAACATCTGTGCTAAATTCTGAACTTTGTCATTTTGAACTTTTTGAAGCAAGTCTTTCTCTTCCAAAAGTAGAGCTAATTGATCTTTCTCCATCGTTTGAATGTGAGTCTCTGAAACAATCTAAATAATATATTTATTTTTTTATTACACTTTTGATTGTTATATTTTTAGTAAAACTACATTTGAAAGACTAAGAAATAACTCAGAACAACAAAAGTATCATTCACATATAAATTAAAATTATAAATTAAAAACAGTACAAGAATCTTCATGGTATAGGACACTACCTGGAGTTAGATCTTGAAGGGTATACCGTATCCATTGGTAGAAACCCAATGGCTTAAAATTTCCCACTGGAAGCCAAAGCAATCAATAACTACGATAATTTTCAAGAATATTTTAAGGGGCAGTTACGTGGCACAGTGAATAGAACACCGGCCCTGGAATCAGGAGTACCTGAGTTCAAAGTCGGCTCAGATACATAACACGCACTAGCTGTGTGACTCTGAGCAAGTCACTTAACCCCAACTGCCTCACCAAAAAAAAAAAATAAGAATAACAATATTTTAAAACACAAATTACACTGATAAACTGGACAAAGGAGGCCACACTACTTACTAGGTGACTATAGTGAGAATCTACAAATTCATATTTTGAAAAGGAAAGGATAAAGACAAAAGAATAGTCCGGTTCTTTATAGCATAGTGATAGGAGTACAAAAAAGGGTCAAAGAAGGGGCAGGACTACTCTACCATGGGAGAGTGTTCTAACAGAATTCTAAACTCTGTTCAGTCATAAATGAAATAAAGTGTAACTATTCTAAAGAACACTAATTAGTAACATTTTGAAGGTTTTTCTGGCTAATTTTTGGGCCATGCCAGTACTATAAACATATGTGGCTTCCCACATGGATGAATAATAAGATGTATTCATGGGCTGATAAATGATTTTAAAAGGAATACTATAGGGATGAGAACAAGGTCTAGTGATCTGGACTTGAAGCATTCTTGCCAGAATGGTGTTGCCCCTTGATATGTTATCTACTTAGTGGTTGGCTCCCAAGGTGGGGTAAGGATTTGTGCCAAAGAGAAATTCATTAAACATGATACATCAATAGATTTGAGACCTCACCAACAAGATTACTCTCACCAGTGGTGCCACTAAACTCATCCAGGCCTTCCCATCTAATGTCATTCTTCTTTATGTCTACTCAATCTTCCCCAGAAACTCAACAGAGGTATTGAGAGCCTTAATCTGGATTTCTTGACATTAAATAGATGCCAATGAAACCAACGGGTGGTCCATCAATTATCCCTCTATTTCACTACCTAACTGACTACCTGGTCTACTGCAATAGCCTCCTAAAATGTTTTCCTGGATTCATTTTTCCTCTTAGAATCTGTCCTTTATACCATTTTTGGAATAATCTTTCTTGGTAATAAATCTATTTCTGGCATTCACTGACAGAGAAATGTAAACACAGTAGGTCCTTAATAGACCTACCCACGTGGTCTATTGCAATAGCCTCCTAAAATGTCTTCCAGGGTTCACTTTTCCCTCTTGTAATCTGTCATTTATACAATTTTGGCATAATCTTTCTTGGTAATAAATCTATTGATGACACTGACAGAAATGTAAATATTGTTAAGTACTTAAGAAATGTGTGTACCGTGAATACCTTGTTGACTGCTCAAACATCTTTAGTGGCTCCGCTCCTTTTCACTTACTTTTGTTGTTCAGGCAGTTAGTGGTATAAAGCTCTTCATTACCCCATTTGAGGTTTCCTTGGCAAAGATATTGGAGTGGTTCACCCTTCCTTTCTCCAGCTCAGTTTTTACATATGAGTAACTGAAGCAAACAAGTTTAAATGACTTGCAACTGGTAGGTGTCCAAAGCTAGATTTGAACTCGGGAAGATGAGTCTGATTGACTTCAGGCCCAGCACTTTATCCACTGTGCCATTTAGCTGCCCCCTTTATCTACTTAATGAAGCTTAAATTCTTCTACATGGTTCTCCACTATCTGACATCAGCCTACCTTACCAGTTTCATACTATTTTCCCATCACAAGGGAAAATTAGATACCTTCCTGTCCCTAAAAGACTTCTTAGCTTCCAAGTTTTTGCTCAGAGTTCCATATATCTGGAATGTCCATATTCAAGTATTACTTCCTCCAGGAAACATTCCTCAATAGTATAAACAGAAACTAGGCATTTTGTACATGAAATATAATAAAATTTCAAAACTATCTCTTGGGGGAAATAAATCCCTAAAAAGCTATTCAATACATTGTTGCAAACTTAGTTTATTGATTCATTTTTAAAGTGTGTTTCATTATTTTCATTATGGATCAATCTTCTTTCTGTACATATCATTCAGTCTACCACTATTCTACATGGTACATACATACCTCCTCTAATTGTTTTTTCAAATCTATTATTTCCTGCTGATATCTTTTCAAGAGAGCTTCATCATCCAATACCTCATTAACGCGAGGTGTATTTTTCATATATTTAGCAGTGCTGGCAAACTGAAGGTGGGGAAAAAAACATTAACTATTATAATCATTTAATTAAATGTATTGAAGGGAGAATATATCAGTAACTATATCCTGATCAATTCAATCCTATAACTGTAACCTGCATCAGCTCCCAATAATTTTCTAGAATGTCAAATATTAATTATAAGATGCAATTGACAAAGTAAATTTCTACTTCACTTAGGCACTTCGGGAAACTTCCACAACCATTTCAATCTGTTGTCTTATTCCAAGGAAAGCAGGCCTTTATACAACTGTCCTTTCATTGCTGCTAAGGTACCTAGGCCAAATCTCATCCCAGAAATAATCACTGCAGCATATATATATATATATAAGAACTCTGAATAAACACGGTATTGGCAGGAATGGAACAGATATAAAAGCCACCATATCCCAATGAGACATAGCTAATAATCCATTAATCAACATGAGGGATACACTTATGAAAAATGAAATGCCAAGTTACTTGATTTCAGCAATTGTGATAATCAAATGTACAAGAAGATTCTTCTCCCAAACCTGCCCCTTTCAACCGAGCTAATCATCTTTACTGCTTCTCATCTAAGTTTGAAACATCATCTTAGACTCTTCCTTCCCTCCGCACATTAAATCAGCTCCCAACAACCAATAATTTCATCTCAAATCCAAATGCTTCTTCTTTTCCTTTCCCATTCCTATCACTTTTCCATAAAGGAGCCATGCAGCAACAGCCTGCAAGCAACATGAGGAGAATTACCATGACAGTCTTCCAAGAAGTCAAGATGGTGTCAAAAGCTTTTGACAATCAGTGATGTGAAAAATACATGTTGAAAATGATCTTTCTTGATATACCATAACCAGTTTACCATCACAAATATGCAGTATCTTGGCACATCTTCACATTTACTTTGCATGTGATAGAAGTATAGAGCCACTCAAGTCAATTCCCTTTGATTATCATCACTTGGTTCTATTCCTTTCCATCCCCTCTTCAGTTTTTCAGCCAGAATACAGCTTTCAATTCCTTACCACATACTGTCTTCTTAACTCTCTGAAACATGGCTGTTGCCCTCACCACCTCTACTAAAACTGTCAAAGAAGCCTTTTCCCTCAGTAGGCAGACTCCTCAACCTCCCTACTATGTCTAACACTGTTAGCCAAGGAAGGGATGGCCTTCTGCTTCCTTGGCTTTCAGGACACTGTACAATCCCAACACTCTTCTCTCTGGATGGCTCCTTTTCTCTTCCACTGTCATGCAAGGTACTCCCTAGTTTTATACTGACCATTTCTATTGCTTCTCCTTTGATTCCCCAGTACCACACACATACTCTATATGCTCTACACAAACTGGTCTATTCATTAAATCCTATATACTGTGTGCTTTTCTATCTCTGCGGATTTGATTAATTTTTGCCTCCTTGAATTTTCCATATTTTGGTCATTAAGGCCCCACTAAAATAGCAACTCTTCTCCAAAGAAGTTCACCTTCACCATAAAAAGGTAGACGTGATTCCTCCATCTTTCATTTTATACATATACACACACACACACACACACACACACACACACACATAGATAGATAGATAGATAGATAGATAGATAGATAGATAGATAGATATTGTCTATGCCCTTTACATAGTCATGTGCCCACTTATCACATTACATTCTAGTTTTCTGAGCATTCCTCATATTCCTTACTAGAGAAGGGCCCAGACTATCTTTGTATTCCATGCACAATGAAATCAACTCTCAACTTAAGATCAGGAGCTCTGTTTGGTTTAGATTCCAAAGAACATGATGCCAACATGCTACTTACACCTGGTCCTTTGTCCACATACTACTGCTTTCCACTTTCATTGTGTCTTGTTATCCCCCGTTTGATTGTAAGCTCCCTGAAGGCAAAGACTTTCTTTTCCTGATTTATAACCTCAGTGCTTAGCATGATGCCTGGCACACAGTAGTCACTTAATAAACGTTGACTGAATTGAATTGTTTAGTCTCGGTAATCTTTTTTTTCTCTGATTTCCAGTAGTAATTGTTTTTTACAAAGTAAAAGAAAAAAAACTCTACTTACTTAGAGTACTAAGTTTCATCAAAAGACACTTAATAAATGTTGACTGAATTGAAATGTTTAATCTCAGTATTATTTCTTTTCCTGAAAAAGATTTCCAGTAGTAATTTTGTTTTTTACAAAGTAAAAAAAAATCTACTTACTTGGAGAGTACTAAGTGTTTCATCAAAAAACAGTGGAGTAATAGTGCAGATAATAAGTGTTTTTGCATTTCCTCCCAAAGAATTCTGGAGAATTTGAGTCAATTTGCTGTCTCTGTAGTTTATGAAGCCACTTATAAAAAATGGGTTTAGGGAGAAAAAAGAAAAGTATCTTTTACATCTTCAATGAAAGAGCATTTATTAAAAAAAATTGTTCCTTAAGCATTAACATAACAAAATAGAACCATCTTTTTCATTACAACATTATATCACGTGTCACACAACTAGCAAAATTATATTTTTATTCATATTCTGCAAGCAACATGAGTAGGCCAAAATCACTACTAAAGGAACTATCCGTATACATGACATTCAGTCATTTACATAATAATGAGTAATGAAGACTGCATAAAATAATGCCTTTTACCTTTGAGTGGCATTGAAAATGCTACCTTTTTCACCCCATTAAGATGTTTTGACATCCATAAGTATATATGTAATGATATAAGCTTACCCAGACTGTCCATCACTAAGCTTCTGGATCACTTGTCCCAATATACACAAACTCCTATTATTGCATCCTTCAAGCCAAACTCCTGCAATTAGAAAAACATCTACATAGATGTGTATATATTCAAATAATCTTAATTCACTTTAATGTTGTACTCATAATGTATATTATAATATTTAATAAAATTTTGAGTATACAACCTTATATCATCTAGAATTAAAAGGCCTAGCTACACAATTTGGCATTAAATCAACTATGTTTTGGTTATTGTGGTGATAATGGGTATTCTCCTTCACTCCTGATCTTAATGGGGAGTTTCTAGCTTATCCTTGTTACTGATAATAATCATTTTAAGGAAAGCTCCATTTATTCCAATGGTTTCTTATGTTTAATAGGACTGGGTGCTATATTTCATCAAAAAGCTTTTTCTGAATCTACTGAAAATCATAATTTTTGTGTTTCTTGCACCAATACTTTTCCTAATATTGAACCAGTCTCGCAATTCCTGGAATAATCCTACCGGGTCATAGTGTATGAACCTTATGTTATATTTCCGTAATTTTCTTGCTAGTATTTTATTCAAAATGTTTACATCAATATTCATAAGAAATTGGTCTACAGTTTTGTTTTAAGAGCAAAAATACCATATTTGTGTTGGAAAAGGAATTTGGGAGGCTTTTTCTTTGCCTATTTTCCCAGATACTTTATATGAGTATTAGAATTAACTGTTCTTTAAATGTTTGTTAGCATTTACCTGTAAACCCATCTGGTCCTGGTTGTTCAGTTTCTTTTTCTATGTTTATTTGTTTATGCTATTTTCTCTTCTAATTTGGCCAGTTTATATTTTTTGTGAATATCCATCCATTTCACTTAGATTGCTAGATTTATTGCCATGTAATTAAGCAAAGTAGCTCCAAATAATTGCTTTAATTTCCTCTTCATTGATGAATTCACCCTTTTCATTGTTGATGCTGTTAACTTGATTTTCCTTTCTTTTTTTCATCAAATTAACCAATGGTTTATTTCCCAACCCCATTAAACTGGATCCTAGTTTTACTTATTGGTTCAAAGATTTTGCTATTAATTTTTATTAATATCCTGATTTTTCAGGATTTCTAATTTTATGTTTGATTTGTTCTTTTTCTAATTTTTTTAGTTACATGCTCAATTCATTGATCTGTTTTCTCTATTTAACTGATAGAAGGGTAAGAGTAAGATTTAAGAATTACCTGCTACCCCCTACAACCTCCCTTCCACAGTAAATCATCTAGTTTGCCCCTTTTATGTTAGAAAATCTATCCCATTTTACCTCTCCCTTCACCATGTTCCAAGTGTATGTTTCTTCCACTTCAAGATTTAAGATTTTTTAATGATTTAATTTTTAAGATTTTTTTTTAAACCATGGCATCATTGTCAACTTATACCTGGGCCCTGTTTCTGTATACTCCTGTCTTAATGATCAAGTTCTTACATGTTACATGTATCATCTTCCATGTAGGAATGTAAGCAGTTTAACCTTATTGAATCCTTTATGATTTCTCTTTTCATGGTTCACTCTTGTATTTGAAAGTCACATTTTCTATTTTTCTTGGCTTTATCTTCATTAGGAATGCTTGAAAGGCCTCTATTTTGTTAAAAATTTGATTATTCTGGGTTATAATCCTAGCTCCTTTACCCTCTGGAATATCAATGCAAGGATCAAAGACATTTCCAAAGGTCTCATGATGGAAAATGCTATCCACGTCCAAAGAAAGAACTATGGAGTTTGATGGCAGATCTAAGCATACTGTTTGCTATTTTTTTCTTCTGTTTTGTTGTGTTTCCTCTTTATTGTGGTTCCTTCTACTGGTTCTAATTCTTCCTTATAACATCACTAATGTGAAAATATGTTTAACAGGAATGTATATGCATAGCCTACATCAGATTGTGCATCATCTTGGGGAAGGAGGTAGGGAGGGAGTGAAGAAGAGGAAAATTTTAGAAACTTATGGAAGTGACTGTTGATAAATCAAAATAAATTAATAAAAAAAAATCAACATGGAGATGGTTCAGTCTCTCCAGATGCCTATCACCTTTTTGATCACTGGAGAGAGATAACCATTTTGAGAATATTCAGTGTTAATATTTATACAGTTTGACAATAATACTAAAGCTCTTGGCTTCTTTCTGCCATTCACCACCATCATAGTGGATGAAAGAAATCTGTATGGGACCAAAAGCCATGGTTTTTTTTCCCCCTGTTTTCCACAGACACCTTACTAGCCTCTCCATGGTTAGTTTGGTCCAAAGAGAGCAGACTCAGATTCAGTCTCAGGTCAGGAATAACCTACTATATCTTCCCATGATGGTAGATCCTGCAAGAGATCTATGAAGAATTCTATGGAAGTTGAACTCTGATGCTTCATTGTAACCTCATGATGACCCTGACAGTGGCTTCTCAAACAATTGTTTTAAGTTCCTTCAAAAGAAAACATTATCTTACTGTCAGAATTCATACAGGAAAAAAATACACATTAATGTCAAAAATGTTGGAAGGCCTTTCAGAAGAGCAAAAACTTAAAGCAGGGGAATCAAACCTGTGGTCTTCACTGTGGCCCACATCGCTTCCAAGTGTGGTCTGAACCAAACTAAAATATAATTGGGAAATATTTAACAAAATAAATAAAAACACCTAAGAACATAGATACTGTTAATATGTGGTTTTCTAAGTCTATATATGGCCTATAGGGATCTTAAGTAGTTATGTACACTTTAGTGGGCCCTATTTCTATTTCAGTTTGACAGTGCCTTAGAGAACATGAGCAAATTCATATTGGAAAGAAACATAAAAGCATAAGAAAAAATGTTTCATGGATTTTTTTTACCTTCAGATCCAGTCTGACTGTCTCTTTCACTGCCTGCAAGATCAACCAGATCCTGCAAATGCAATAAATTGAATGTTGAGGAAAGTTAAAAATCTTTCAAATATGAAAAGTAAAAGACACCTAACCAACTGATTTCTACAGTGTATCTCTCACTCTTTCTCTCCCCTAGGAATAGGGAGTTATGGTTTATTTAGACTATAAATCCAGGGGATTAGAAAGATGTAAGTGAAATCTACATAAGAAAATTCACTGGGATATGAGTCTATCTGTTGTGGGCATCCCTAAATGCTTACAAAATTAGTCTTTAAACACAATTTATATTCAAAAATTATAAGATCCACTTCTCAGGGATCCATAACCTGCATTTGGGGTGGGTCAGATTCAGACGCAGCACTAAGAGAAAGGTGGGAAGGTGACATCCCTTGTTTCCCTCCCCACTCTCCTTTTCACCTTATTCTGCATTCCATTCTGATGGGCTGGCAAACCAATTAGTTCATTATAAGATGTCAGCTGATAAGTTCTTCAGGTATGATCCCTTCCTAACTATATTTGGAACTTAAACTCAAAGACAAAATGATGAAACTACTAAGACAAAGGTGATGAAGGTATTGATATTTAATGAAGTAGATTGAGAAGTTATATTCCAAGAGGTTCCCTAAGGATTTTTCTATAAAATTTCACCCATTATTCAAATATTACGGACACAGTTCATATGCAAAACTGTAATGCAATGTAATTTGATTACATTTATATTTAAGAAAATTGTCAGAGACTTAATTAAATTCAACTGTTTTAACCTGTATTGAAAAGGGTCATTCTTAAGTAAGACTTACCAAATGAGATACCATGACAGCTCCATCAGAGTTGAAAGCGTCACCCTTTTCTCTACTTTCCAAAATCTAGGTAGAAAAGGCAACTTGTAGGAAAATCAATATACTCTTAATTGGAAAGTTAAAAAAAAAAACTACCTACCATTCTGAAAATTGTATGGGAACGAGTACTTCTCTGACTCATTTTTGTCTTCCTGTTTCCTGCAAAATGATTCATATTTGAACTAAAAGTACTGAAGTCACTGAAATATTATGCTAAATTTGTTTCATTTAAAAAGTTATAAAAGACAAATTTCATTGAAAAAATTTTTAAGAATATAGCAAGAAGTCTTACTCTCTCCTTTCTTGATCCACTGCAGAGTCAGCTCTGGTGTGGAAACCACCTCTTCTGTGAGATCAGCTACATACACATTTCTCTGTAACAAATTTAAATCACAGGGAGATTAGTTAGAGAGGTGTAATATTAACTCCTCTAATGAAAGCTCTAATCTCTAGGTCCTTCAACCAAATGCAAAAACTTCTAGTATTTCATAAATTTTGAAGGAATTCTTTTTACAGAGGCAAAAAATAGTGATATGTAAAGCAACATTGAATGTTAAAGGGTGAAAAATATAACTGCAAGTTACTTACATTGAAATCTTCCCGAATTTCTAAAGGTTTCCTTTTCCTGCTGTCACAGAGTAAATCTGTTATAGTTTCATTGTAAATTTCCATATAGGATACACGTAAAAGAAATTCTCTTTCAGGAATCTAGAAGGGAAAAAAAGTTTAGAAAAAGCTATCAGAAAGCATCCAAGGAAGAGAATCTAATACTAATTGTTCCTGTGCATTCATGAGGAAAAGATAGGCCATTTTCTATAAAAGACTATATAGGCTACTCATTCACAACTTTTACCCTTCAACATTACACTTATACTTTCATTTAAAAGGGAGTAAAGAAGGTATATTTGTGAAGTAGGTGAATAGCTGCACCATCACCTAATGAACATCTCTATGCTGCATATCTCTGTACCACTTCTTAAAAGGTTTCCTGAATTTGTTTTGAGTTGCCCTACTTTCCAGAGATAAAGCTAACTTAACAGTGACTTTTGCGACTGAATTCCTCAGTATAAGGAGCTCCCAAATGCATGTGCCTTTCTCTTGTAATAAATCAGATTACCCTTATCCCACAGAGTTTTAATATTGGTTAGCAGACTTCACAATTTAAAATCAGCTTTCATATACATTATTTTATTTGGTCTTTATAATGCATGAAATTCAAGTGTTATCATCCCCATTATACAGTTGAGGAATCAGGTTTATTCTGCTGAAGTGACTTGGCCAAGATTACACAGCTCTTGCATGCCACTGTCCCCACCCACCCATTCGTTCCTTACATTTTATTTTGCATTTATGGAGGCAGGCATGGCACAGCAGATAGACAACCATCCTCAACGTCAGGAAGACCTGTGTTCAAGCACCACCTTTGATATATCCTGGCTGTGAGACCCTGGGCCAATCACTTAACCTTTTAGTGCATCAGGAACCTAAGACTAGAAGCTGAAATCCCTATCTGCTGCTCTCTCTACTGCTGATGGCTCCTCCCAGGCCTGTGCTGGTAAATGTTTAACTCTCCAAAAAAGATACATACACATTTATTACAAATTTTACTGATAGAAAGGATATGTAGCAAACAACTCAAAACTAGTAAGATATCTAATACTCTTTATCATAAATTCCATACAGTCATTAAATGCTTTTGTTGATTTTTGCTGACCTCTTGTTCAGGAAGGGACAGGGAAGAAAAGAAAAATGTGAATCTATGCTCTGTCTGCTCTGGGTCAGCACTGACATAAGACAGCTATAACTGAAATATATTATGAAAGTTTTTCTGTTCAGTGATGATTATTATCCTCTTAACCTACATCCTTGATCTGCTGCTAATTTAGCTAGGTAACTTACCTCCTTAATCTTTATGAAAATATCATTAATTGCTTTGGGTATTACACCCAAACCATCTGCGGAACCCATCATTGTATAGGTTTTTCCTGAAGCAGTCTGTCCATAGGCAAATATGGTACCTGGGAAAAGGAACAAAAAAACCTCATCTAAATGTCCAAGGCTCAAAGTAGTCACTTAAGAAATAATTATTAAATAACCCAAGGCAATCACAAAGTTTGGACAGCATACATCAAAACCTTACCATTATAGCCCTGTATGGCAGAACGTATAATTGGTACTGCCATTTCTTCATATACCTTTTCCGTAGTTTCATTGGAATGAAACACACGATCTAAAGAGAAGTAGACAAGAGCTAGTATACCAGATGCTTCCCTGTAAGTCAACAATGTTTACAAAAGTGATGTCAAACTCAAAAAGAAATGGAGACCACTGCACTGTACATAAGGATCAGCAAGGCCTCACATTGACTTAGTTAAAATGTAACAATATCTATGTTACTGTATTTTTATTTTGTTAAATATTTCCAGTTACTTCTTAACTTGGTTAGGGAGTGTTGCAGGCCAAGTGTTTGACATTCCCAGGTTACAATATTATAAGATAGTTGATGAAATAGAATATTAAAGTCTTAGAAGTATTTTAATGCCATAGCTAAAACAAGATCATGGAATCAAAGATATATATGAGCTGGGAGGGATGTTGGACGTTACTTCTACACCCTCATTATAGGGGAGAATAATGACCTGCCCAAGATCACACAGATGGTATAAGGCAGAGCTAGGAATTAAACTCAGGTCCTGCCATTTCACATCTATTCTTTTCCATTACACAAAGTGCCAAGTGACTGAATTGCAATTCAACATAATAAACACTTATTAAGCACTAATAACGTATCAGACGATAGGCCAGCAATATTAAAGATTATTCAAATAATTTTAGTTCTAAAAGTTTTCTAAATGTTTGGGTCTTCTGTAAACTGCACCATCTTTATGATCGTAAAGTTATAGAGGGTCCATATTGCTAATCTGTCATGATTTAACCCTACCAATGGATCTGAGTGGCACAGTGGTTAATGCAATGGGCCTAGAGTCGGGAAGACCTGAATTCAAATCCAGCCTCAGACACTTATTAGCTGTGTGACCCTGGGCAAGTCACTTAATCCCATTGCCTAACAAAAACCAACAACAAAAAAATTACAGGAGCCGGTGAGGAGAGAAGGTACATGGAGAGAAGGTAAACCAGGACTGAGTGATGCACAAAAAGCCAGAGACAATCAAGTATGCAGGAGTAGAGGGTGATTAACAGTGTCAAATGAAGCAAACAGGACAGGAAGGATTGGGATTGAGGAAAGATCATCCTGGCAACTAAGAGATCATTGTTACCCATAGTGAAAACAGTTTTCCTTGAAGCCCCAACTGAGGGAGGGGAGTGATTTGTAGTGGACCCACTCAGGCCAATTTAATCACTTTCTCCAGAAGTATTTAAAAGAACGGACACAAAAGTAGAAGTCAAATGGTAGAGGACAGGCTAAATGTCAGCTTTACTAATAGAACAACAGTATACAAGCATTTCAAATGAAAGTTTGGTACTCAAACTCTTAGGGCCACAACTAAGTCATATCAAGCAGATTAACATTTACACATTTCCTTTGTTTCCATTCTTGGGAATCTGTTCTTTAATGCCCAATCCAGTATTCACATGCGTTATCGTGTTTTTTAAAGCTAAATAAATGGACCCTTAGAAATTCCTTAAAAATCTTACCGAGGAGCAGCTAGGCGGCACAGTAGGTAGAGCACCGGCCCTGAACTCAGGAGGACCTGAGTTCAAATCCGTCTTCAGACCAAACACTTACTACTTATGTGACCCTGCACAAGTCACTTAACCCCAATTGCCTTAAAAAAAAATCTTACCAAAACTAAAGGATCTTGTTCCATCAGTCTGAGAAATCAGTCTCTCTTCAGTCTTCCAGTGAAGTTGTGCGGCATCACCTAGGTCTTGTTCTCTAAAAGACAAAGTCCTCATTTACTATTATTCCTATCTCAATGCACATTTGCACAACTTTAAAATGATGCCCTAAAACAAATTCTGGAGTGGGAAAACCCACAAAAGGATGGAGGGAAACAATTGTCCAGTCCAAGACAACTTGGAAGTTCAGTAGGAAAGGTCCATCTCACTGGGGTGAGAGTGGAGCACAGTCCAGTACAGACCAAGAGCTTGGAAAGACAGTTGGGAGTGAATGAATTGGCAGAGATGGCTTCTGGAGGGTAACAGGGTCTCACAACTGGTCAAAAAGAGATCACATAGGGCCCTTTGTTGGCACTGAGTGCCAGGCTCTGTACTCTATATTTCTTGTATCATCAATACTTAGTCCAGAGTCACAGTCCTGCGGTGGGGTCCTTCCTCACAGTTCCATAGTAGAAAAGAGTGCTTGTGGTCACTCACAGACCAAAACACAGGAGACCAGGAGAACAGTTACACAGCTCTTCTTACAAAAACAAAGAAGTGAAAACTTATAGACCCCCAGAGCTAGTTCCAAAAACAGCAACGTAAAAAACCTGGAACTTGGGAGAGTGTCCACTCCTATCCAAGAGTGGTGGCCAACTTTAAGATCAAGTTAAAGTCAAGAAATAGGCTTGAAAATGAGCAAACAACAAAAAAAGGCATTGACCAGGGAAAGTTACTCTGGTGACAGGGAAGATCAAAACACTCAGAGGAAGACAATGAAATCAAAACACCTACATGCAAAGATTTAAAGAAAAATGTGAATTGGTCAAGCCCCCAAATAACTCCTGGAACACCTCAAACAGGTTTTAAAAATCAAATAAGATAAGTAGAGTAAAAACTAGAAAAAAGAAATGAGAGTGATGCAAGAAAATCATGAGAAGTCATAAAAGATACTCAAGAAAATAACACTTTAAAAAAGGGAATAAGCCAAATGATAAAAAAAAGGTACAAAAATCCAAAGACAACTCCATAAAGAGCAGTATTGGCCAAATGGAAAAAGAGGTACAAAAGCCAGCTGAAGAAAATAATCCCTTAAAAATTAGAATGGGGCAAGTGGGCAAGTGGAAGTCAGGGAAAAAATATTTTAAAATATGAAACATTTCATCAGAAAAATCAAAGTACCTGGAAATAGATCAAACTAAGAATTATTGAACTCCTGAAAGCCATGATCAGAAACAGAGTCTAGACATTATCTTTCAAGAAATCAAGGGAAACTACTCTGATATCTTAGAACCAGAGGATAAAATAGAAACGGAAAGAATCCACCAATCTCTCTTTTTTTTTTGGCAGCTAGGGTTAAGTGACTTGCCCAGGGTCACACAGCTAATAAGTGTCAAGAGTTTGGTCTGAGGCTGGATTTGAACTCAGGTCCTCCTGACTTCAGGGCAGGTGCTCTATCAACTGCGCCACCTAGCTGCCCCCACTAATCACTTTCTGGAAGAGATCTCAAAACAAAAACTCCCAAGAATATTACAGCAAAATTCTAGAGTACCTAGGACAAGGAGAATATTGCAAGCCGCCCAAAAGAAACAATTCAAATATGGAGGCACTACAGTGAGGAAAACACAAGATTTAGAAGCTTTGAATATGATTCTAGAAGTCAAAGGAGCTGGAATTACAACCAAGAATCATCTACTCAGCAAAACTGAGCATAATGCTTCAGGAGGAAAAAAAATAGACATTAAATAAAAAAGGACTTTCAAGCATCCCTGAGAGCAGCTAAGTAATAGTGGACATAGAGAACATAAGTGATATAGTGGAAAAAATGCCAGGCCTGGAATCAAGAAGATTCATCTTCCTGAGTTCAAATCTGGCCTCAGACATTTCCTTAGCTGTGTGTCCTTAGACAAGTCACTTAACCCTGTTTGCTTCAGATCCTCATCTGTAAAATGAGTTGGAGAAGGAAATGGCAAACCACTACAGTGGTTTCTTTGCCAAGAAAACCCAAAATGGGGCATGAAGAGTTGGACATGACTAAGAAATGATTGAACAACAAAAAAGCATTCCTGACAAAAAGATCAGAGCTAGATAGATAGAAAATCTGACTTCCCAATACAAGACTCAAGAGAAAAGTAAACAAGACAGAGAAATCATAAGGAATTCAATAAGGTTAAACTACTTACATTCCTACATGGAAGATGATACTCGTAACTCTTAAAAACTTTATTATTAGGGCAGTTAGAAAGAGTATGCTAGACAGAGAGTGTATATGAATTGATTATGATGGGATGATATCCAAAAAAATAATATTGAGGGGTGAGAAAGCAGGGGAAGGGAGAGGTGGAATGGGGCAAATTACCTCATATGAAAGAGGCACTAAAGAGTTTTTACAGTGGACAGGAAGATGGAGGGTGGTGATGGGCAATGCTTGAATCCTACTCTCATAAGAATTGGCTTAAAGAGGGAATAACTCAGTTGGGTATAGAAATCTATCTTACCCTACAGGGAATGAGAAGGGGAAGGGAGAAAAGAAATGGGGGGCTGGGGAGGGAACTGATAAAAGTGAGGGCAGACTGGAGGAGGCGATAAAAAAAAACAATTGAGGGGTAAGAAAGTGGGATGCACTGGGAGAAGGGGGAAGTGAGAGGGAGAATGGGGTAAATTATCTCACATTATCTCCACTACAGTGGAGAGGAAGATAGATAGGGCAATGCTTAAATCCTCTCATCAGAATTGGCTCAAAGAGGGAATAACATACTAAACTGGGCATAGAAATGTATCTTATCCTACAGGGAATTAGGAGGGGAAGAGGGAAAAGAAGTGGAGGGAGATTGGGAGAGGTGATGATGAGAAGCAAAAAATTTGAGGTGGTTCATGGTGAAAGGAGTAAAAATAGGTATGGTAAAAAATAGGATGAAGGAAATACAGAGTAATCATAACTGTGAACCTGAATGAGATGAACTCACTCATAAAACAGGAGACAGCAGAATGGATTAGAAACTAGATTTAGAGAAATTAGATTAGAAACTAGAATTAGAAATTCAACAACATATTGTTATCAAAAAACATACTTGTAACAGAGAGAAACAGAAAAAAGGGGCTGAAGCAGAATCTGTTATGCTTCAGCTGAACTATTTGTGGCCTGGCTGCTAACTTTGTCTCTGGGCCTCAGTTTCATCCTCTGTAAAATTAGGAGCTTGACCTTGATCATTAGGATGAAGGTCTATGTGTGTAAAGAATCTAGATCTGGTGACACTGGGCTAGTCCTTCTTGTTTGTCCTTAGTTCTCCAAGGACCATGACATCAGGGAGGTGATGCCATGATATGAAAGTGAATTGGATTTTAAGGAGGGAGGGCTGTGCAAAGTCAGCCTCACTTTCTCCTCCAGAGTCAAATGGGTTCAGTGGCAAGGGGAGATGACTCCCCATTCAGTAATTAAAGCTAATTAAGAAATGAGACAAAAGAATGGCCTCTTCTACCAAAAAAAAAAAAACAATCTGGGAGGGGAAGACCCTCAGGGTTTCTGTCCAAACAGAAACAAATGCTAATTACATTCACTCAGACCCAAATAGGGCCCAAACAATGATCAAGAGGGGCTTGGCCATGGACCTATAGTTGGGTTGAAGGTGTGGTCCAAAGCAAAGTAATTAAGCCAGTAAAACACGATATTTAGGGAGGCTCAAAGAGATCAAAATTTACATTCCTTTGGGCAGAGCACACACAAGTAAGGGTATAGCAAGGGACTGCTATAATTCCATAGCTGAAAGGTAGCTACTTATTTCAAAGGCCAGTAGTGCAACTCATTCATTTTTTAGATAAGCAAAGTAAGCAAAGGTAAGAAGGGGAAGTGACTTGCCCAAAGTGACATAGTTTCAAAGGCTCAGGTCCTAAGACTCCAGGAACCACTAATTTTCCTTCTTTACCTCCTTGTCTTGTAAAACAGGGGGAGGAGTGCTAGAAAAGATGGGCACTAAAGACCCTCCTAAATTTTCAACTCATGAGATGTCTTATGACAGCCAGGTGGTGCATTGGATAAACAGAGTGCTAGGCCTGGAGTCAGAAGACTCCTCTTCCCTCTGTTCAAATCTGACCGACCACACTTACTGGCACTGTGATACTGGGCAAGTCACTTAATGCTGTTTGCCTCAGTTTCCTCATCTGTAAAATGCACTGGAGAAGGAAATTGAAAACCATTCCAGTAGCTTTGCCAAGAAAAATGTGCTCACCAAATGGGCTCACCAAGAGTTAGACAGGACTGAAAACCACTGCACAACAAAATAATCCCAAAAATTCCTTGGAGAAGCCGTTTAGTGGAATTTGCTCATCTGTAAAATGAGGGTAACAGTAACTACTCTACAAGGTAGTTGTGCGGGTATCAAAAGGAACACTTTATGTTGACTTTTATTTAGAAGCTTGGAGAGGAAAGTCAAGTCAACAAGTATTGTGTGCCAGACGCTCTGATACGAACTGGGAATACAAAGAATGGCAAACAAACAAGAAAGCTAAATCCAAGTCCCTACTCTTAATCCTAAATCCCTCAATCTAATGGGGTAAGAGAGGGACAACGAACAAACAACTCTGTGCACACAAGATACAGACAGGATAAACTGACAGAGAGCTCAGAGGGAAGGTACTGGCATACGCAGCAGTCAAGGTAAGAGGGAGCGGCCACTACCCGCACTTTCTGCCCCACGCTAGGCCTTCCCTAAGGGATGAATGTGAAAGACTAGGAGACCAGACATCGATTCTGCCCCCAGCCCCACCCCTGCTCCTGGGACCTGGATCTCTAGAGGGCTCACCTGCTAATGAGTGGCCTCACTCGAACACAGACGGTGACAGCGCCTTCGTCCGCCATACCGAGGTCACAGGTAGACAGTAATTGAAGTGTCTGGAGAACCAGGAGGCCCGCCAACCCATTTTAAATACCCCCGACAGCCCGTCTGATTGGCCCGGTGCGCTGTGACGTCATGGCTGGGAGGGCCAATCCATCCAGAGGCCAGAGGCCGATGGGGGTGGAGCCAGCACAGAGAGGTCTCATTTTCACCTGTTCGCATCCCGCTGGCCAGCTGCGGGTGGATGGGACTGGCTGGTCCGCTGGATTCAGCGCTTTCTCTGCGGGAAAGAGGTGCTGGAGACCTCTTAGTTCCCTTCCTTGACTCGTAGTGAGAATCAATCACTGTGCCAGAAATGTTATCATCTGAGAGTTGACCCTGCCCCGCACCACCGATTAATACCCAGAGACCCAGCGTTCCCTGAGGACATTCCCTGGCCATTCAGAGCCAACTGGTTACCCTTGAAAACGGGCTAGCCCTGGATTTTCTCCTAAAAAAGTAGGGAGGAGGGTTGTGCCTTGGTGGAGACCAAATGTGGCACCCTCCTAGATGATTTTTCCACTAATATGACCTGCTATGTAGCCCACCCATGCTATCCCTCTGGGACAGAGTCCTTCCGAAGGAGGAAAGCAATTTCTGGTTTTCATTCTCCTCCATATTCAGCGACCATAGTCTTGCCCTCCCAATTTCATTCTCATCGAGACCACTAGACTTGCTGAGTCATGCCCAGCCATGAACAGAGCCCGCGTCAACCTAAAAAGAAAGGAAATTATTGAATGATAGCTGAGCAATGACATGGAAGCAAAATTTTGGAGGAAGAGACTAAATCTGCTCCCTTTCCCAAACTCTCTTTTCGGGGGGGGGGGGGTGGATTAATGAAGGGGTGCACTTCATTGAAGAAGGTGGTCTGAGATGTGTATTCTTAGAAAGAGGCATGATAAGACAGCATTATAGTAAAAACTAGCTAGCAGTCTACTTAGGACTAGTCTCATTTGCTAATATAAGGAGAACACAAAGATTTATGATGGACTTTCACAAAAGTCACTGACAAGTGTGCCTGATAAAGGAGTGTGACACAGGAATGATAGCTTACAATCCTGCTACTACTACTTAGGCTCGTTCTTGTCCCTAGCTTTCTTTGCTTCCCGCTCCCAGAGAACATTGTAGGAGGTGGGGTTAAGTCTGAGGGAAGGTTAGTGCCCACAAAACTCTTGTTGAGTCCGGGGTGGGGGGGATAAAGTCCTCAAAACTGGTTTTGAGAACACAGACTCATTGAATCAAAAGTTTAGAACTGGAAGGGACCTTAGAGACCCCTAAGTCTAACCCCTCATTTCATAGATGAGAAAAATGAGGCTGAGGCTCTGCTTGGAGGTCTGGAGGGTAGAACAATAAATTCTTCCCAAAACCTTTCTTTATAGGGGGCTAAGAACTTCTAGAACTTTCAGCTACTTCTCCATTTAAAAAATTTATTTATCATTTTATTTTTCCTCAATTACTTGTAAAAACAATATTCATTTTTAAATTTTTGAGTTCCAAATTCTCTCCTTTCCTCCCTGTTCCCTTCATTGAAAAGGCTAGCAATTTGATTTAGATTACATAAGTTTAGTCATACAAAACACATTTCCATATTAGTCATGTTGTAAAAGAAAACAAAGATTAAAAAAAAGCAAGAAAAATAAAGAAAGTACAAAAAATATGCTTCAATCTGCATTCAGACTCCATCACTTCTTTCTCTGGGAATGGATAGCATTTTCCATCATAAGTCCTTAGGAGTTGTCTTGGATCATTGTGTTGCTGAGAACAGCTAAGTCATTCATAGTTGATCATCATACAGTATTGCTCTTACTGTGTACAATGTTCTGGTTGTACTCATTTCACTTTGCATCAGTTCATATACATCTTTCCAGGTTTTTCTGAGAGCATCCTGCTCATCATTTCTTATAGCACAGTAGTATTCCATCAAAATCATATATCATAGCTTGCTCAACCATTCCCTGATTAAGGGGCATCCCCTCAATTTCCAATTCTTTGCCCTCAGAAAAGTGCTGCTATAAATATTTTTGTACATATATGTCCTTTTCTTTCTTGGGTTGTTTTTTTTTTAATCTCTTTTGAGATGCAGACCTAGTGGTGGATATTGCTAGGTCAAAGGATATGTATGGTTATATAACCCTTCAGGTATAGTTCCAAATTGCTCTATGTAATGGCTGGATCAGTTCACAATTCCACCCACAGTGCATTAGTGTCTCAGTTTTCTCACATCCCCCCAACATTTGTCATTTTCCTTTTCTGTACTTTAACCATTCTAATAGGTGTGAGGTCGTACCTCAGAATTGTTTAAATTTGCCTTTCTCCAACCAATAGTGATTTAGGATATTTTTTCATATGGCTACAGATAACTTGGATTATTTCATCTGAAAACTGACTTCGTATCTTTTGGTCATCTTATCAATTGGGCAATAGCTCTTATTTTTATAAATTTGACTCAATTGTCTGTTGTTGGTTGCCCTTCGTTCTAGAAGAGGACCATGACATCAGGGAGATAATGCCATGACATGCAAGTGAATTGCATTTAAGTGAGGGAGGGCTCTGCAAAGTCACTCTTTTTTCTCTGGAGCCATCTGGGTCTGATGGGGTATGGGCCCAAGCCAAAACTTTGCCCCTTGCCCCAAAAAGAATTTGGGTCCCATTTGTCTATGGGCCCCAGAAAACCCTTAAACTTTCTTTGACTTCATTCTGGTCTCAAATGGTTGCTTGAGGCTATACTTCACTCAACTGGCTTTTCCTTATCTTATTCTGATGGAGGAGCTCTCCCATTATCTCTTTGTAGAGGCCTAGTGTTGGATCCCACCTTTGATCTCATCAACCTCTTCCTTCCAGTCCTTTTGTTCCATTATCAATTCCCATAGTCTATACCACCTCCCAGAAGTTCCCATCAAAATTCTCCCTAAACTCATCCCATCTTCAGGATCTTTCTCCCAGCCCCTCCTCTGAGCACCCACAATTATTTGAGTGTACGTATATAAGATCCACCCTGGCCCCCATTTAAATGCTGAGATATTCTCATGCCCAGTGTTCTTTACAGGCGGCACTAACATTCACATTCCTTAAGAGTCTGACCTCTAATAAAACTTTGTCTCCGGCTGAAAGAAGATTTGGGTCAAATTCATTTGGGTAGGACCTGAGTGTCTTGTCAGGATCATAGCACCCTAACAATCAGGATCATAGCACCCCAACCTCATCAGGTCCAGTGGCCAGATATAGATCAGGACAACAGGAGATGACCCTAGCTGCACTGGGAGACCTTGGACTTTTTGATTTTGGGGGGGGCCTAGGCAGTGGGGTTAAGTGATTTGCCCAGGGTCACACAGCTAGAGTAAATGTTATGTGTCTGAGGCCGGATCTGAACTCAGGTCCTCCTGCACCACCTAGCTGCCCTGAGACCTTGGGTTTTTTTAAGCTAAGCTCCTTCATCATGACTCAGTTTGACTGAGGCAACTCCCATTCAGTGATCAAAGTTAGTTAAGAAAAGAAGAAGAGAATAACATCTTTTACCTAGTCAAAAAACAAAAAAATTTATCTAGTAAGGAAAGACCCTTCAGGTTTCTGGCCAAAATAGAAACAATTGCAATTTACATTCACACTAAGCCCATCTGGACCCAAACAATGACCAAGTGGAGCTTGAGGGGGGGGCATAGTTGGCCAATCAATGAGAGTAAGAGTGATTTGGGTTTAAGGCTATTGTTATTTGTCCTTTCTTCACAAAGAGGACCTAGATGTACAAGAGGTGATGCCATGATATGCAAGATTGCTCTGAATGCCCTTGGAGACCTTTTTGAAGCTAAGGTCTTTAACAGGATTCAATCTGGGAGGGGTAGACCCTAAGGGTTTCTGGGTAAAACAGAAACAATTGCTATGTACATTCAATCTGGGCCATTGGGGCCAAAGCAATGACCAAGTGGGGCTTAGTGTGGGACCTAATTCATAAAAAAGAAAGAAAGAAAAAAGAAAGAAAGAAAGAAAGAAAGAAAGAAAGAAAGAAAGAAAGAAAAAAGAGAAAGAAAGAAGAAAGGAAAGGAAGGAAGGAAGGAAGGAAGGAAAGAAAGAAAGAAAGAAAGAAAGAAAGAAAGAAAGAAAGAGAAGAAAGAAGAGAAGAAGAAGAAAGGAAGAAGGAAGGAAGGAAAAGAATGGAAGAAGAAAAAAAGAAAGAAAGAAAGAAAGAAAGAAAGAAAGAAAGAAAGAAAGAGCAAGAAGGAAAGAAGATGGCAGTAGGTGGCGCAGTGGATAACGCTCCGGCCTTGGAGTCGGGTGGACCTGAGTTCAAATCCAGCCTCAGACACTTGACACTTACTAGCTGTGTGACCCTGGGCAACTCACTTAACCCAGATTGCCTTCCCCCCCCAAAAAAGAAGAGGGAAAGAAGAAGCAAGCAAGAAGGAAGGATGAAAGACAGACAGAAAAAAGGAAGCTGTGGAGCAGCTCCTACTACTACTCACCACTCAGTTATCTATATATTTGAGAAAATTTATTCTATTCTCTCTCTCCTTTTACCCTATCCCTCTTCAAAAGTGGTTTTATTCTGACTACTGCCTCCCCCAATCCACCCTCTTTTCTGTCAGGACTCCCAACTGTCCCTTCTTTTATCCCCTTCTCCTGTTACTTTCCTGTAGGGTAAGATAGATTTCTATAACCAATTGAACATGTATATTATTCCCTCTTTGAGTCAATTCTGATGACAGTAAGGTTCAAGGGTTCCCTCAGATCTCCCTTATCTTCCCGCCTGTTGCAGTCTGAGAGGTTCAAAGAGTATTGGACAGGGTCATCTGAAATGAATTCACAGACTCAAGCATTCTTTAAGTCAAGTTGGCAAAGATTTATTGTTAGGCTTTTCAGAGGGCAAGAATTCTTTTTTTTATGTATAATTTTTTTTTTGGCTGGGCAATGGGGTTAAGGGACTTGTTCAGGGTCACACAGCTAAGTAAGTGTTATGTGTCTGAGGTCGGATTTGCTAGCTGCCCCTCAG